GGCGTAGGTGGCAGGTCACAGTGAGTCAGCCAGGCTTTGAGACCGATCCCGGCACAGGTATCACATCTCTAGAGACACATCGGGAGGATGATAAAGTAGGAATTTGTGACGAGGCTCTAAAGGCTTTCTTCTGCCTTCTTGTCTTGGCTCACTGGTTTGGGAGGAAGCCAGCTGGCCTGTGGGGAGCATGCTCCAGCAGCTCTATGGGCACAGGTCAATGCGATGAGAAACTGAGGCTTTCTGCTGAGGGTCACCTGAACAGGCAGCTTGGACCAGACTCCTTGGGCCGCTGTTGAAGTCTTCAGATGTCTGTTGTTGCTATGGAACGCTTAGCTGAAACCTCATGAAGGCAGTTGGAACCACCAGCTGAGCCGTGTGTGAGCTAATGCAGAAGATTCAACACACAGAGTGTGAGATGCTAGACTCTAAGATGCTGGGATTGATATGGTTGACTTTGATGGTATTAAGAGGTAATATAGGACTGCGCACGCCTTTAATCCCTGCCCTTTGGGAAGCAGAGGCAGGCAGATCTCTGAGTTTGAGGCCAGCCTGGTCTACAAAGTGAGTTTCAGGACAGCTAGGGTTACACAGAGAAACCCTATCTCGAAAAAAAAAAACAAAACAGAAACAAAACAGCTAATATCGGGTCAGGCTTGTAGTGCATGCCTTTAATGCCAGCATTTGGGAGGCAGAAGCAGGAGGATGTCTTAAGTTTTAGATTCAAATATCTCACCAACCTGCTCTTAGCTCTTAACTGTGCTCGAATTTAATGGCATTGAAATTTACTCATGGTCCCGCCACTTTTCCTCAAAACGTGTTAGAATGTATTCATAATTATTTGCTCCATGTTCAGACATAAACTACTTGGGGTGTACCAGCTCTCCACCATGTAGACCCGAGAAGGCGGAACAAGCACGTGATTGACTTAGCGTTTTTTTTTTTTTTAGTTTAAATTTAGATAAGAAACAAGGTTGCTTCAAGCGTTTTTTTTTTTTTTAAAGATTTGTTTATTACGTATACAGTGTTCTGCTTGCATTCCAGATGGGGCACCAGATCTCATTATAGATGGTTGTGAGCCATCACGTGGTTGCTGGGAATTGAACTCAGCACCTCTGGAAGAGCAACCAGTGCTCTTAACCGCTGAGCCATCTCTCCAGCCCGACTTAGCGTTTTTTTTTTTTTTTTTTTTTTATGAGACAGGATTTCTCTGTATTGTTTTGGAGGCTGTCGGTCCAGCCTGGCCTCGAACTCACAGAGATCCGCCTGCCTCTGCCTCCCGGGTGCTGGGACTAAAGGCGTGCGCCACCACCGCCCGGCCCGACTTAGCGTTTTTAACCTGTTGTTCAACTCTGCTTCTTCTGGGATCTGGAAACCTCAGACCCCCGCCCCTCCCCCCCAAATCCAGGGACCAGACATCAAGCGCCTATGGGTCGTCATGGCAACACTGCTCTCAGGCTCCTGACTGGTCTCAGGTTTACCGAGCCTACATTATTATTGTGAGGAATAAATGTCTAGCCTCTCCGTGGTGTCCCACATCTCCATAGCAACGCCAGTTTTGAGTTCCTAAAGGTTCAGCGAGGCCTCATCTTGGACTTAACCACAAGAAGACCATATTGGCAGGGGACTTTTATGACTCTCTTTGAGAAAGGCTGGAACAGCCTGGTGGAATAGAGTCTCTTGTGTGTTAGGTCATCATCGTCCTGCCCACCCCTCCCCCCCGCCCCCTGACGCCTTCAGGAGAAGAGAGCTGGCAACAGGGCTTGGGAAAGGGTTGGGGAACTGGGGGGGGCCCCATGATCACAATAGGTGAGGCACTGGCCAGTCATGGTGGTGAATGCCTTTTATCACAGCACTTGGAAGGCAAAAATCAAAAACCTTAAGGTACTGTAGTCTGAATGGTAAATCTGTCTGCTTAGACGCCTAGTCTGCCTCCTGAGTTCTGCCCTTGTTCCCAAGATGTCCTGATGCTGCCTCTGCTCCACTAAAAATAGCTCCATAAATATTCACGGGGGTCTTTGGTTTTGTTTGTCGAGACAGGGTTTCTCTGTATAGCTTTGGAGCCTATCCTGGCACTTAGTAGACCAGGCCAGCCTCGGACTCACAGAGATCCACCTGCCTCTGCCTCCTAAGTGCTGGAATTAAAGGCATGTGCCACCAACGCCCAGTTTTGTTTGTTTTGTTTTTGTTTTTTTTTCATGGGTGTCTAATTGTCACCCGTTATACAGAATGCCAAAGGGCATACTCGGTAGACACTGAAGGGTCCCTGCGCCGGTCCAAGGCACTGCGACTTAGGAGGAGGAGCAACCGTGGATCGGGATCTCAAGGCTGAAAGCGTGCATCTGCCAGCTAGGTATGGACGACAGAGCGTCCAGAGCCCAGGGGAAGAAAGACTGGGCTGGCACGATGGCTCAGTAGGTAAAAGCTATAGTGTGAATTAAGTCCTTAGCACCCATGTGGTAGAAAGAGGTTTGGGAACTCCACATACATGCCATGGCACACACACACACAATAATAATCATATATATATATGTGTGTGTGTGTATATATTTTTAAGGAGATGGGTTGGGACTGTTTAGAAGAGAATCTACCCCCATTATTCTGTACTGTGAGCTTCCTTTCTTTCTTCCTTTCTCTCTCTCTCTCTCTTTTTTTCTTTCTTCCTTTCTCTCTCTCTCTCTCTCTCTCTCTCTCTCTCTCTATCTTTTTTTCTCTCGAGACAAGGTCTCTATGTAGCCCTGGCTATCCTGGAATGCTCTATGTAGATCAGGCTGGTCCCTAACTCACCCGCTTCTACAGAGCAAGTTCCCAGACAGGCTCCAAAAAAGGTACATACAGAAACCCTGTCTCAAAATATATATATATATATATATATATATTTGGTTTTTTCAAGGCAGGGTTTCTCTGTGGCTTTGGAGGCTGTCCTGGACTCACTCTGTAGACCATGCTGGCCTCGAACTCACAGAGATCCGCCTGCCTCTGCCTCCTGAGTGCTGGGATTAAAGGTGTGAGCTGCCAACGCCCAGCAATAAAAAAATGCTTAAAAAGTAAAAATCCAGGCTGGGACAAGATATGCATACCTTTACTCCCAGTGCTCGGGAGGCAGAGGCAGGCGGATCTCTGTGAGTTTGAGGTCAGCCTGACCTACAGAGTGAGTTCCTGGACAGACAGTCTACACAGAGAAGCCCTGTCTTGAAAAACCAAATAATAATAATTAATAAATAAAATAAAAATTCAAAAATGACTGTACATGTAAATCAGTGAGGTCTTTGGTTCAATCCCCAGCAACACACACACACACACACACACACACACACACACACACACACCACACTAAGTTGGTGAATTGTCTCTGGAACTCGATCTGTAGACCAGGCTGGCCTCGAACTCTTTTGGGATTAAAGGCCTGAGCGACCACTGCCTGCTGCTCTCATTGTTCTTATAAGTGAAAGAAGACATTTGGAGGGTCAAGGAAATTTGTAGGTGTTGTGTCGCTGGCTCTTAGCAAACCACAAGTCAAGGGAAGCAGTTCTAGTCACTGGAGACCTTAGGAAACAGATTCTCCTAGAGTCTTCAGAAGGACCTGGGGCTGACTGATTATGGCTGTTTATTTTGAGACAGGTTCTCTCATAACCAGGCTGGCCTTGCTTGAACTATGTAGGGAAGGGTGGCCTTGAACTGTTGGTGTCCCCTGCCTCCACTTCCCAGGTACTGGGATTACGGTTCTGTGCCACCACACTTAGTTAGGCACCTCAGTTTTCGCCCCATGATAGGGTCTTAGGCCTCTGGACGGCAGAACTGGGAGGTAAAGTGTGTGTCTAAGACATGGTATTGGGGATAAATTTTTACAGTAGCCCAGAGAAAACTAAAACAGAACACCTGCTCTGCTCCCACTGGACCAGCCTGTGAAGCTGGGCAGTGGCTCCCAGTGACCCAGTGCAGTGATCCCAGTCCCCGTGGGTGATGCTGGCACTCAGGTGTGAACCACGAACTGGTCTGGGAAGACACACCCTTGGGCTCCCTGATTTTCTTCCTCTGGCTTCCTACCTGGAAGCAGCAGCTGAGTTGCTCTCACAGGCATGCCAGTGCCTGGCAGCTGGGAGCTTGCAAGCCTAGAGTGCCCATGGGCATTCCCAGGCTGCCTCTCGGTCATCCCTGATGCTGTCACTCGCCAGCAAGCACCCTGTATCCACTCATGCCTAGTGCTGAGGACACACATGTAAATAAACCACACAGAAGCCTCCAGACACAAAGAAGTCACATTTCATTGTGGGGAATGCTGCCCACCCTTAACACACGTCATCTCATGCCAGGCGAGGTGAGGCAGGACTTGGGGTTTCAGAGGGCTTTGGTCAGCCTACGCAGAGAATGGCTGCCTTCATCCTACTCTGTGTCAGAGCCAAGAAGGCTTTTGGGAGGCAGGCAGGAGCCACCTTCTGTAGAGGTGGATACTGGAAAGGCTTCAGCTTCAGCCGAGGCGTAGAGGGAAGGCTGGGGAGAGCTGATGGAGCCCCGGAGAAGGGGAGACATGGGAATAGTGGGGTTCAAGCTAGGGAGGGCCAGAGTCTTGCGCTATTCAGCGTGACGGCCACATCGAGTAGGTCCCAGAAGCCAGAGTCTGGAGGAGACATCGAGACTCCCAGAGCAACTTGGGATTTACTTCCCAAATGGGAAGGAGTTTCCAGAAGTCAGGGCCCTCCCCAGCCCTGGCCAGGCCACCCCTGTCCCTCAAAGTCCAAGTCCAGATGCTGAAATGTACAGAGCAGCTGTGGGCAGCAAGACACGTAATCAGAACGGTAACAACAGTTTTGGACTCCAAAGATGGGGGCCCCAGTCCCATTGTGGTGAGTCCAAAGGATGAGTGAACCAGATCCTTCATCCCCAGAGCTGTGGTGATGATGATTTGAAGTGCCTCCAAAAGCATCCCATCAGGATCAAGGCTAAAGTGCCCCGACACAGTCCTGTGTAGACGCCGTTGGGGACGAGGCCAGCTGGATTTCCACAGAGATGAGGATCAGGCGTAGGTATCCCAACTAGACTTACCCAGACAGATGTGTGGTTCAGAAGTCATTGTCAGTAGGACCCTTACAAAGGTCGTGGCCAGGGGACTTTCAGCTAGACGGCCGTGGGAATCAGAGACATTTCTCCGAGGAATCTTGGAGAATGACTCCAGTGAGAGTTTGTCCCTTTCCAGCTCCCAATCTGGAGAAATGCACTCTGTTAATGCCCTCCAGGATAACAGAAATTCTCTGGTTGGGAGAGACGGCTGTAGCACTGAAGCATTTATTGCTGGGGTTACACCCTCTTCCCATCATCTTGTGCCTGGAGGTTCCAGGCAAGGTCGGTCTCTACCTTCGGTGTTTGCCTGGGTGGTGTATCCAGGGTGTCTCCTGCGTCGTTGGCAGCCTCCTCGAGCTCTGGCGTGCCCTCGGCAGTCTCCGGCAGGGTGTCATCCGGGTCCAGGTCAGGCTTTGTCGGGTGCGGCATCCAGGTATGTGTCCAGGTTGCTATCGGCGTGGGCCGCGGAGGTTGCCAGAAGTCGGCATCAGGGGCAAGAGCTACGACCTGAGGTCGCCCGAGTCCCGAGGTGGTGACGTGAGGGATGAGGAAGAAGATGTAGACACCAGAGACAACAAGGCCTGCAGCCACCAGCACGGCCAGGGCCACTGCCGCGTTGAAAGCCCATGTGGGGCTGCTCAGGGAGAGGCGACGAGACAGCGGGCGGCCGAGGCGCAGCGGGGGTGGAGGCGGCGGGGCGTGCACTGTGCGGCTCTTGCGCGGCCCGGGACACGGCGGCGGTGGCCGCAGGTACAGGAGCCCTCGGCGGCGGTCGAAGCGCACGGAGCCCTGGCGTGGCAGTGGCGCGCGCGCGTCGCGAGGCAGCAGACCTGGCTGCGTGGGTAGAGCGGGAAGCCCCCGGCGCGGGGCCAAGCGTGTGGGCGCGCGGCACATGGGGCAAGCCACTGCGTCGCCGCCACTCGCCGTAGCCAGCGACAGGCGTGCCAGGCACTCGAGACAGAAGACGTGGCCGCAGTCCAGGCGTTTTGGCAGCTTGAAAATGCCGTCGAAGGGTGACACACAGATAAGGCACTCCATGGGGGATGCGGGGGGCAGGATGGGGCCATCGCCTGGGGTGCCATCGCCCTCCTCCTCTTCCGCGTCCTCGTCTTCACCTCTGCTAGGGGACCTGGGTGCAGAGAGGGTACCTGGGGAGCCGGGGCTCGAGCCCTGGGAGGCTCGGGGGCGGCGGAGCCAGGGCGGCCGAGGACAGGGCATCCAGATAGGACCTATGGGGGAGAAGAGCTCAGGTAGAGATCTGGAGGCTGTGACCGGTTGCGAGGATTTCAGAGAGGTGCAGGAAAAATAATTATGTAGAGTAGGTCCAAGGAGGCAGAGAGGAGTCCTTGTTGGTTGGCTCCACTGTCCCCAAACTAGGTAAAACTGATTCGGAGGACCCACCTTCTTAGGGGCGATTATACTAAGAATAACCCCACAAGGAGCCAGAAGCAATGACTCCAGGGTACAGCTTGTCAAGCTGTGGGTCGTACCCCATTAACAAGAGCAACCAAAGACCACAGGATAACAGAAATTTGGTATCTTTTTTTTTTTTTTTTGGTTTTTCGAGACAGGGTTTCTCTGTATTGTTTTGGAGGCTGTCCTGGAACTCACTCGGTAGACCAGGCTGGTCTCGAACTCACAGAGATCCACCTGCCTCTGCCTCCCAAGTGCTGGGATTAAAGGCGTGCACCACCGACGCCGGGCTGAAATTCGGTAGTCAGTAGCAGAATTAGTTAACGAAGTAGCAACTGAAATAATTTTATAGTTGGAGGTCACCACCACATGAGGAACTGTACTAAAAGGACCACTTCTAGCCGGGCGTTGGTGGCGCACACCTTTAGTCCCAGCACTTGGGAGGCAGGCGGATATCTGTGAGTTCGAGGCCAGCCTGGTTTACAAGAGCTAGTTCCAGGTCAGCCTCCAAAGCCACAGAAGAAACCCGGTCTCAAAAAACCAAAAAAAAAAAAAAAAAAAAAAAAAAGAGACCACTTCTCCGGTAGTACTCACTAGAACCTGTCACCGGGACCACCAACCAGATCCCTAAGAGGTACCCAACAGCAGAGAAACGGAGAGGAAACCCAGAGTGTGAAGACCAGATAGAAAGGCTAGCCGGTCTACAGGACACCTTACCTGTTGATGCCTGTCCCTGTGGAGTATCCTGGTGAGTCCTTCCTGTTCTGACCCCAATTTCTGGCTTGTCTGCTACTAGGTTGTCAAGTGCCCCTCCCTGAAGGCCACCTGACCTTGGGCCAGCCCTCTCCAGGTTCCCATGTACCTGTCAAACCTGTCTGGCTGCTTACCCCACCTCCAGGCCCCTCCCACCAGGATGAACACCAAATCAGATTTATATTGGATGCAGGGGTGGCTGCAAGATCGCGGTACAAGGACCATGGACTACTACTCTACAAAGCCTGCACTGCTGGGCTCCCGGAGACACGCAAAGTCCACACAGATGATGCTGAGGAGCGAGTTAGCTGGATCCACCTCAAAGCGGTCTGCATACTCTCTGGATCTCCAGTACCCCAGCCCTTCCCCATATCAGAGCAACATGTGTCAGACCCCCAGATGACAGGAACAATCCACCCGCCTCATCCCCAGTACTTCTGGGTCATTCCTGGGCACTGGGCTTACATCCTGTGACTAGCAGTATTCCTGAGTGGTGCTTGCCAGGGGGAAGCACCATGCCAGTTAAGTGAGCATTCCCTACAGCCATGGGAGACACCCTCCCCGCTCAACAACAGACAAGCACACAAGGTAGAACTGTCCCAAAGGGCACACAGTTTATTAGGCAGCAGACAGGAAATCAACGGTTAGACTTGGCCACACGCTCCAGTTCATCCTTCTTCTTGATGGCATAGGAGTTGGAGGAGCCCTGCAAGGACAGGTGGTTAGCTCCGAATGCTGGACGAGCCCCCAGATGCCCACCCCACCCCACCCCACGGGCCCTGGCCCACCTTGGCAGCATTGATGAGCTCATCTGCAAGGCACTCAGCAATTGTCTTGATGTTCCGGAAAGCAGCCTCACGAGCTCCTGTGCACAGCAGCCAGATGGCCTACAGAAGACAGGCAGGGCTCAGGCCACAGAAGACTCCTGGTCCCCGGTTACCTGGGACTCATCTCTACATGCTGTCACCCAGAGATGAGATACAAGGGAGGGGACTTCCTGTCAGACATCCTATCAGACGGGGACTAAGAAAACACGGGCCCCTAGCAAGGTAACTGCAGCAGAGTGGGAGATGCTCTTGACCTCATGGTACTCAAGCACCAAGCAATCCATCTTGTGCCTCGCAAGTAGCTCAAACTATAGGTATGTGGCACCGTTCAACAGGCTCATAAGTGAATCAAGGTTAAAAAACAAAGAGCCAAACCGGCAGTAAAACTACACACCAGGAGTGAGATGGACCAGTCCTAGGAAGGCTGGGGCTCCAGTCACCTGCCCCACACAGGGTGGAAATCCAGGAAGGTTTCCTGGAGGAAGTGAGGCTCTGGCTAAAACATGCAAGACAGAGCTCCACCCTCGCATGCTGGTGGTTCCTGCCCGTCCTTCACAAGCCTCTGATGCACGCACCTGATTCACTCGGCGCAGTGGGGACACATCCACAGCCTGCCGCCTCACAGTCCCGGCTCGCCCAATGCGGGTTGAGTCTTCCCGGGGGCCACTGTTAATGATGGCATTGACCAGGACCTGCAGAGGGTTCTAGCAGAAAGGAGGGCCATGAGCCTGCACCCACCTCCAACTTCCACCAGGACAAGGTGGCAGTCATAGGTGATGCATCTGGCATGTGTACCGCGAGGCTTACCTCACCAGTGAGCAGGTGGATGATCTCAAAGGCATGCTTGACGATTCGAACAGTCATAAGCTTCTTGCCGTTGTTGCGGCCGTGCATCATCATGGAGTTAGTAAGGCGCTCCACAATGGGGCACTGGGCTTTGCGGAAGCGCTTGGCGGCATACCGCCCCGCGCTGTGGGGCAGGTACTTGGCATACTTCTCCTTCACAGCAATGTAATCCTGGGTGGCAAAGTGAGGATGAAGGGGCAGTCAGGGGCGGGACCAGCCCTCAAGGGGGCATCAGAGAAGACTGAGAACTGGCTGTAGGCATGGCATGTCCCTAGCAGTTATGACTGTGAGCCTTGAGACAGAACACACACACACTTGGGGCAACACTGTGAGAGACCTTGCCTTTAGAAAAAGAGGGCGAGGAGTTTACTTCCTTTAATATGGAAGCAAGGGGTTTGATTTCAGCTTTGTAAAAGTATTTTTTTAAAAAAGTGTACTGTGGGGGTCTGGAGAGATGGCTCAGTGGTAAGAGCACTGACTGCTCTTCCAGAGGACCCGGGTTCAATTCCCAGCACCCACATGGCATCTCACAACTGTCTATAAATAACTCCAAGATCTGACACCCTCACACAGAAATGCATGCAGGCAAAACAACAATGCACATAAAAATTAAAAAAAAAAAGCACTGTGGATACTGGAGAGATGCCTCAGCAGTATTGGCTGTTCTTCCAAAGAATCCAGGTTCAATTCCCAGCACACAGCGGCTCACAACCACAACGCAAGCAGCTGACAGACACACACATAGACAGAATACACAGAAATCATTTATGAACATTTTATCCAAAAGAATGCTTTTGCTGGGCTGATACTTTGGAGCAAGCAATCCTCAGTGAGGGGAGCGCTGTCTTGTGCACTATAGGACACTTGGCAGCACAATCTGGATTATTCTGTGATACATGATGAATTCCAGGCCATGAGTACATAAAAAGTTATGCAAAAAAAAGGGCAAAAAAAAAATTGAGTCAATGTGACCTGTGAGACAAAATGCATTTACTATCTTACCCCTTACCCACAAAGTTCCTGGGTATGCACACATTGCAGTTAGGTGGCAGGTGGCCTAGCATGTGAAAAGCCCTGGGTTCAAACCCTAACAGAAGCAAAAGTCTGCAGACCTCCTCAAACAAGCTAAGAAAGTGAAGACCCACCTGACAAGTTTGAATATACTTTGGATACATTGCCCGGGTCCTGTTGTACACTTCTCCTTTGTTTAGTTCACACACTGTTTTGTGTGCAGACATCAGAGGACAATGACAGCTGTCATCACTGTCAGGCTTAGTAGGGGGATTGCCTTGTGTGCACAAAACCCTGGGTTCAGTTTTCAGCAGCGTGTAAAACTGGGTATGGATGATATATGCCTTTAATCCCAGCATGCAGACAGAATGCCACTATATGGTGGGTTTTCAGGCCTGCCTGAGGTATGAGACTGTCTCAAGAGGGGATATGAGTACAAAAGCAGAAACATCACAACCACTTTGCACCTATACTAATACAGCCATTAAATAGCACCCACACATCCATAGCCAACTAACACTTTTGGGGAGGGAAACAGTGGAGGAGATCTCACTACAACTCCAAGTGGCTTCATACACAAAATCTTGCAGCCTGAAACTAGCAACACAGGCACGCACCACCATGCCCGGCTTACCAACTGACTTTATGGGTGCCAACACTGTTCAATTGGTTAAAGTGGTCTCTTCAACAGAAAACACCTGCTAATTGATACCAAACCAGATGCCTTTAATCCCAGCACTTGGGGAACAAAGACAGGGTTACATAGCAAAGACCCTGTCTCAAAAGACAATGGACTCAGAAAAAAAAAAATTACAACACACGGTAACAACTTCTGGTATAGGTTATAATAAGGCGTAGATGTGGCTGTCCAGTTATAGCACTTCTATGTGGTTGTAAACAGACTAATTGAATCCTAGGTGTCATGTGTCCCCTCCTGAGCTGGAAGAACCCACAGCTGTTCCCGATCAAAAGCCAGACAGACCACCACCAAGTTCCTTTTACCTGCAGAGAAATATCGTTGATCTGCACATCATCGGTACTCCATTTCCCAAAGAGCTTGATGTCTGGGGTCTCTGCCACCGCAGGTGTGGCTGTCTCCCACTCAGTCATTCTGGGGACAGGAGATTGAGAAGAAATCGTTATAGCCAGCCGCCCTAGAACCACCACCTTCGGCTCACACTCTTTTAGACTAAGTAAACCGCCACTTTGTGGAAAACTGGGTAGTTAAAAGGGGACATGGAAAGTTTTGAACATCTCTCGAAACCTGGGGGGGAATCACTGAGCTGTAGGAAGAACCCATGGTCTAAATTCTGACAATCACCAAGCGAGGCAGCGGGTTCACGGAACGCACCTATCCCGTATCAAACTTCCACTGTGCATTTGTAAAAAAAAGAAAAAAAGAACGAAAAGCTTCCAACGTCCCATCGGCAAAATGTGTGGGTAAGGACTACGGTTTGAATCCACAGGGATAGTCAATACAAATGTTTCCTTCCATCCTGGTCCGAGACTCTATGGTGGAAGTTAGGGGCTGTTATCGAGAAAATAGGTACTGAGCAACGAGATCACCGGGAACCTCGGTTTTTCGATCGCCGCATGATCCTAGAATCCAAGCGATCTAACTAGGGTCCCGAGTGCTAAAAAGTATGGAGTCAACACACTGCAAAGGGGAGGCGACGAGCAACCCGGCCCGCCAAGTTTCCTGGACACTCTTCCCGGAGCCCCGGGCCTCGGGACCCGCCTCCGGGTCCCCAGATGTCCCTCACCACACACAGGGCGGCCCCTCTGGAACTCCCGGCCCCGCCGCAGCCTCACCTGAAGGCGCAGACCGGACTTCTCGGTCGCTCGGCGTGGACCACGCGCCGTCCTGGCACAGACAGGAAGAGGCCGCGCGCAGCGGGCCGGCGCTTTTATGGGAGGCGAAAACTTCCGGGTCAGAGGCAGGCACGCACGCGCGGAGGGACGAGGCGTGCTCACGGACCAATCGGGAGTCACGATGACAGGCGACCTCTGAGCGTGCGGGTCATGCGCGCTGTGAGAAACAGCGCCACAACCGTTTCCTGGCGGATGTCCGAAGTACTAGCCCAGCGCGTGAGTCGGATGCACATGCGCAGAAGCGTTCGCGAGACGGACACCGCCATATCTAAAAAGGGCAGACGCCCGCTCCATGCTCGCGGCAGACGGGCTGACAAACCAAGGCGCCATGGACCGTGGGCTCCTAGCTAAGGCAGCCAGCTAGGCTCAGTATTTCTCGCCAAAATAGTGGGTCGAATCCGGTGATCACTACTGATCCGGGTTCGCAAGCACCGGCCCCACCCTTTACCTTCCGGGCGAGTGGTGCTCTGCGCGTTGCAGGCTTCCGGTGGCATGGGACCATTTCCGTCTCAATCACTCTGGCTTTTCTAGTCTGGGCCATTTTTTTCTCAGGTCCAATCCGGGACACGAGACTCCCCGATCGCCAACCACCCCACCCCCCAGGGTGGCGAGATTGTCAGCCCCGGCGATGGGTGACACTTTTATCTGGAATTCACCTTTATCTGGAATACCAACGACTTGGTGCATATTATAACGGAGTCTCGTTGCCTGCAGACTCACCCCCAGGAACCTTTTCTTTTAAGATTTATTTATTGCATATACAGTGTTCTGTCTACACGCCAGAAAAGGGCCCCAGATTGAGTAGATGGTTGTGAGCCACCATGTGGTTGCTGGGAATTGAACTCAGGACCCCTGGAAGAGCAATCAGTGCTCTTAACCTCTGAGCCATCTCTCCAGCCCTATTTTTGCTTTTTCGAGACAGGGTTTTTCTGTGTACCCCCTGGCTGTCCTGGAACTCGCTCTGTAGACCAGGCTGGTCTCGAACTCACAGAGATCCGCCTGCCTCTGCCTCCCCAGTGCTGGGATTAAAGGCGTGTGCCACCAACGCCCGGCTCAGGTGTGTTCCTTTAAGGAGGCTGATCTCTGCGTTTATGGCATAAGGACAGAATGGGGAATAGACACCATACAGAAATATGTTAATCGCCTCTTCCCCAGCTACTCCTAAAAGGGCCTCTATGAATAAATAGATCAGGTCTGAGAGCGGGTAGCTCCCTGAGCCCTCTCAGGAATCTGGTGGCATAAGGTTTCCTTCTGATTAGAGTTCACGCCTTTGTGTGAGGAAGGAGAGACAAGGGGGATGACAAGATCTAACTAATGAGCCAGTCTCCGAGTTTCAGATTCTAAGGCTGAGTTTCAGATTCTAAGGCTGAGCCCAGCTTGTGGTTGTTGGGGCAGGAGGCGCTGAGTGTCACCCTACTTTGAAAACTGTTGCTGCACCACATTGATTGATACTGGACATTTTTATAAACCTCTTGAGAATTACCTATGGGATGGCAGAGGGGCCCATAGGTTAATAGAAATACTTCAGAAATTCATTTGCGCCGAGCTTTGGTGGCTCACGCCTTTAATCCCAGCCCTCGGGAGGTAGAGGCAGGAGGATGTCGGTGAGTTCAAGGACAGCCTCCGAAACAATACAGAGAAACCCTGTCTCAAACCCCCCCAAAGTTGGATTAAAGCACCCCTAGAGTTCTTTTTTTTTTTTTTTTTTTTTTTGCTGGGCAGTGGTGGTGGCCCATGCCTTTAATCCCAGCACTCGGGAGGCAGAGGCAGGCGGATCTCTGTGAGTTCGAGGCCAGGCTGGACCGATAGCCTCCAAAACAATACAGAGAAACACTGTCTCGTAAAAACCAAAAAAAAAAAAAAAAAAAAAAAAAAGTAGGGAGGCAGACACAAGGCAGTTTGAGGTCAGCCTAGTTTACTGAGCAAGGTCCAGGACAGCCTCCATAGCTACAGAGAAACCTGTCTCTAAAGTCTCTAAAAACAAAACAATGAAAAAATCTTTTAAAATTAATTATTATTATTATACATGTTTTTGTTTTGTTTTTGGCGTGTAAGTCAGTGTGTGTGCATGAGGGTCCAAGGAGGCCAGAAAGGGTGATCGATCCTCTGGAGCTGGAGGGCATTTGTGAACCTTTTTTCAAGACAGGGTTTCTTTGTGTAGCCTTGGCTGTCCTAGAATTACCTCTGTAGACCAGGCTGGCCTCGAATTGACAGAGATCCTTGCCTTTGCCTCCCGACTGTTGTGGGATATCCATCAGAGAATACTTGGACACAGCTGAAGCCAATCGAAAGTCTTTATTAGCTGGCTGGTGACTACATTGGGTGTTCAGGATCCCAGTGTAGCCTCAGGCCTTTTTCAGAGTGTGTTTTTAGCACAAAAGCCATGTCCTGGGCTGATACACTTCGGTTAAACAAGAACAGTTAGCCAGAAGCAGAACTATAGAAGCCCCAAAACAAGGTTAGTACATTTAGAGATTTTCCAAGAACTATAGACTTTGATGGCTTAGGTCTTTGTTTTTGTTTTGGCAAGTGGTACTGCCTATGTGTTGAGTTTTATGGCCTGAATAGTACTTCCATCATGGAGTCAGTTGTGCTAAGGTCTGGGGGCCTGTAACACCCATCACATGGAAGGCATCAGGGCACTTGGGTAGTTACTCTATCTGTGGACAGGGCTACAATCCTGTCTTCCCACAGTTTTCTGTCTCATGATGGCTCCTCATAGCTCTTGCTGATGACACCATGGATGCTTGTTTAAATCTTTTTTTTTTTTTTTTTTGGTTTTTCGAGACAGGGTTTCTCTGTGGCTTTGGAGGCTGTCCTGGAACTTGCTCTTATAGACCAGGCTGGTTTTGAACTCACAGAGATCCACCTGCCTCTGCCTCCCGAGTGCTGGGATTAAAGGCGTGCACCACCAACACCTGGTTACTGCTCTGGCTCTTTTATTGTTCCTGCAACCAAAGAGCATGCCCAACCAAGCCTGGCCTCCCATGTGTGGGATGCATACTTGTTATAGGAAAAGGACTTCAAAGCAGAGAACTGTGGAATTCTGTCCTCTGGGCAGAACAAACTGTCAGCAGCTATGATTACCAGGATACTCTCTCTTCCAAGGAAGTGGGCCAGGGGTGGGGGTGGGGGTGAGGGTGGGAGTGGGGGGCTTTCTTTTTTTTTTTTTTTTTCCGAGACAGGGTTTCTCTGCATTGTTTTGGAGGCTGTCCTGGAACTCGCTCGGTAGACCAGGGTGGCCTCGAACTCACAGAGATCCGCCTGCCTCTGCCTCCCGAGTGCTGGGATGTGGGGGGCTTTCTTTATGAGGCCGCTCTACCCCAGAGGATTTATAGGCAGTTAACAACAGGTTGCTTGGGTGAGAATTAGAGAGAGAGATTTTCTTCAGCAAGGTAGTCACACATAGTTTGCCATTGCTCCAGTTAAACTCATGGCTTTATGAAGCTTCTACTTTCTACGTTTGTGGAATCCTTTGTTTTTGTTGGTGGTGCCCTGTCTTAGTGTTTCTATTGCTGGGAAGAGACACCATGACCACCGCAACTCTTAAAAACATTTCATTGAAGCCGGGCGTTGGTGGCGCACGCCTTTAATCCCAGCACTCGGGAGGCAGAGGCAGGCGGATCTCTGTGAGTTCGAGACCAGCCTGGACTATCAAGCGAGTTCCAGGACAGCCTCCAAAGCCACAGAGAAACCCTGTCTCGAAAAACCAAAAAAAAAAAAAAAAATTTCATTGAGCCGGGCGTTGGTGGCGCACGCCTTTAATCCCAGCACTCGGGAGGCAGAGGCAGGTGGATCTCTGTGAGTTCGAGACCAGCCTGGACTATCAAGCGAGTTCCAGGACAGCCTCCAAAGCCACAGAGAAACCCTGTCTCGAAACACCAAACAAACAAACAAACAAACAAACAAACAAACAAACAAAAACATTTCATTGAGGTGCCTCACTCAGTTTTGGAGGTTTAGTCCATTATCAATATGGGGAGCATGGCCGCATACAGGCAGATGTGGTGTTGGGGCTGAGAGTCCTACGTCTTGCAGGCAAGGGGAAGCTGACTGACTCAGAAACAGTTCACACTACACTGATAGGTGCATTTACTGGGAAGGTTGCTCCAAGGCCCTTCAAGATGCCGAGTTGACTTAGCTGTAAATTAGGACCACATGTCAGGGTAGCTCAGTGGTACAGGGGAATGACAGGAGGAGTGTAAGTTGCTGGGGGGTGGTGATGACAAATGGAATTAAGTCCCACCCCCTCACTCAGTTGGAATACTGGGTGAAGAAAAGCATTGGCCGGGGATGAATCTCAGTGTTGGAATGCTTGCCCCAAATCTACCAGCACGAGGCCCAGCATGCACAAGGCTCTGAGTTCCATTATCATCACCAGCAACAGAAGGCAGCAGGAGCTCTGGGTGCACAAGTCCAGGGAGTTCTGAAGATCTGAACTCTACATCTTCAGAATTTGGTTGCAAGGTCCTGCTGATCTGGTTTCCACTCTCTCAGCCCCCTTTGCCCCAGCTTTAAAGGGATAGGGGGCTGTGGTCTTTGTCAGCTTGATGTGGGGGATTTAGTCTGTTTCATAGCATCCCCAGTGGCTGATTTACAAAGCCTTCTCCAGGAACTCTACTTTGGAAACATACTTGATTTTTTTTCTTAGTCATCTGAGTCTTCATTTTGTTGGAGCCTGGCTCTCGCAATTTGGTCTAGGAGCCCAGGAAGAGTTGTTCATCCAGGATCATGCCTGTGTCTTTTTGTTTTGTTTTGGTTTTTTGAGACAGGGTTCCTCTGTATTGTTTTGGAACCTGTCCTGGAACTCACTTGGTAGACCAGGCTGGTCTCGAACTCACGCCTGGCCAGTCATTTTTAAAAGATTTTTTTAAAGTGAGGAAGGAGTGATAATATGAACAAAGGAGTCAAGACCATGATGGGGAAACCCACAGAATCAGCTGACCCAACTAGTGAGAGATCATTGACTCTGCATTGTCATCTAGGGAACCAACATAGGATTGAACTAGGATCCCTGAATACAGGTGACAATGGTGTGACTTGGGCAGTATATGAGGACCCTGGCAGTGGATCCAAGATCTAACTATAATGCATGAATTGACTTTGTGGAGCCCATTCTCTATGGAGAGATACTTTTGCTCAGACTAGACATGGGGCAGGGGCACCTTGAGGCAGGATTTATTTATGCCCGGCGGTGGTGGTGCTTGCCTTTAATCCCAGCACTCAGGAGGCAGAGGCAGGCGGATCTCTGTGAATTTGAGACCAGCCTGGTCTACAAGAGTTAGTTCCAGGACATTCTCCAAAGCCACAGAGAAACCGTGTCACGAGCTTCCCCCCGCCCACCCCCCCCCCCCGCAAAAAACTTATTTATTATGAATACACTGTTTTGCCTGCACGTAACCTGCAGGCCAGAAGAGGGCAGCAGATCTCATTACAGATGGTTGTGAGCCACCATGTGGTTGCTGGAAATTGAACTCAGGACCTCTGGAAGAGCCTCCCAAGTGCTGGGATTAAAGGCATGAGCCACTGCCTGGCTGCTATATGAGATCTTGTCTCAAAATAACAAAATCAGGTGAAGGCAGAAATCCAATGGGTGGGCATTATGAGAATGGACAAAAAGGCAGTTGGCTCAACCAGGTCCTTTTATACAAGATCGGGAGAACAAATAGGGTTCACGCTACCTTGGGGGCTTTGGTTCTTCCTCACACTGCTGCACTTACATTTATCAAGAGAATTTTGGTACTCAGTCGGCTCTACTTCCAGAGACCCAGAGTTCAGCGAGGAGGGCGGCCTGCTCACTGGGATATTTTCGTACTTTCCAATAGTCTCTAATTTTTACCTGAGCCTGGCAGGGGATGGGTAGGCCGTTTCTGCGGTTACCGTCTCCTTGATAACGCAGGGTAGTGCTCCACGTATGGGGGTGCGGGGAAATCTGAACCTGAAGCCGGAACATACAGCCTCTTCTCCCTGAATCAGCATACAGGAGGGAGTCAATGGGACTACATTTCCCACCAGGCCTTGCGCTGCCCACCCCTAGTGCTCCTGTCCCAAGGCAGGAGGAGAGGAGGTCGTTCACTACCCTGTGCGGTCCCCTGCTGGCAGCTGCCAATGAGTATGCGCCACTCTGCCCAGTCCCGCGGTTCTAGCCTTCAAAACGGGAACCTTCCGGCCTTTAGAGGGGCCGCCATCCCCTCCCGAAGCGTGGGATTAGGATGGAGGCGCGAAACGGCACACTTCCGGTCCGCACCTTTTGCTCCCGGTCTTGTCCCGTAGGCGCTCAGGACATTCGGTTCTGTAGAGATCCGCTGGCTTCCTGGACCCTCCTGTGACTGGGAGGTGAAGCTCCCGGAGGGAGGTGCGGGGCCCGTCACCAGCTAAGTCCTTAAAGCTGAGCGCACTTCTTTCTGGTGGCCAAAGTCGCCCTCCCTCCCCCCCCCATCCCCCTGCTTCACGTCCCGCCGCCCGGCCTTTGCCCTGGCTGTTTCCCTTCCCTGTCGCCTTAAGACATTTCCTGCCTGCGTCAGACTCAACTGCAATGTCCCCATCTTAAAGAGCCTGGGGGAAGCCATTCTCTCCCTCCCTGCTAGTTCTACTGCAGCTGTCAGGTAGATGTCCTTCAAGTGATTTCCTCTCCAAATAGCCTTTGCTTCTTTCTGCACTCCCTGCACGGACAGGGTCTGATACTGCGGTTCCAAGTGCCCGCGGAGGGCCGCCAAGAGACACGCAGGTACAGAAGGGACTCGGCACCCGTGTTCTGGGGCGCCCTGCGTGTCTACTGTAGGGCAGACAACCTCGGCTTGAGCTTGGGAACGGTCAGCTGGGGTAAGGGGGGGGCCGCCTTGGACTAGGCACTTGTGGGTAAAGTGTCAGCCATCTGTGGGGCTCCGGCTTTACCCAGATGTCCGTGGGCTGGTTCTGGGAACGTGTTTCCCTGGGTGCTTGCCTCCCGCCAGCTCGAGCCCTGCGTGAGAACGGCAGTCAGCGAGCGCCCCCTAGTGTCACAATCCTAGCGTCTCTGCAGCCTCGGCCTCACTGGTGTTAGAGCTCCCGTGTTGGCCTACACTGTCTGGATTCGCAGCTCTCCCGGGCGGGCATCGTGGGTAACAGGCAACCTTTGGTATTGGGACTGCCTAACCCTCCGCAGCAGCCTGCGTTACAGCCCTCTCGTCCCTGGGTCTGAGAGCTTGGGTCTAAAGACTTGACAGCTCTGTGGTCTGGAGATCAGAGCCCAGCGGGTGGGTGCCTGCCTGTCGTGCCTGAACGGTCTTTCTTAGTAGCCCAGGCCGTCTTGTGAGGCGAAGGCCTGCGTGTGTCAACTTTGTATCCATGCATTGCTTCCACCTCAGGGCACAGCTACACACCACATACGCAGGGACCCACAACCCAGCATACCGGGGGACAGGTTCTCAGTCCTACCTAAACACCCTCCATCTAACCCGTCGGTGGAGCCCTCCCTGTGTACGGGCCTGCGGTGGTTTTTGCCTGGAGGACTCCCTCCACCAGCAACGCAAAGCAAACGCGGGCGGATGTGCGAGCCGCCCAACCTGTAGGCAGTGGTCATTTCAGCGCCTTTATTGAAACTCTCCAGTGCGCAGCTCTCTCTCCTGGTGGTCTGTGTTCTTGTATGTACGTGACAGTCGATCAGCGGAGGCCACCAGAGACCCGGGAGGCTCAGGAGAACAGAATCTATTAGGCTAATGGACCTAGATACAGGAGCTCCTGTAGACCCATGACTGAGGACTTTGTGAAGTCACCCATGTTAGGCAGGAGGCACGGGGGCCAGGGGATCGTCTTTCTGAGGGAAAGGAAGGTAGGCAGAGTCAACGGGTTATGCTTTTAGGATTGGCGGAGTGCTGGCACCCCCTACGTCTGTGGCACCCCGGGCTTGCGGACCCAAGGGAAGGAAGGGTCAGCGTAGCCATGCTTTGGTTTGACTGCATGAGAGCAGCCAGGGCTATGTCTTCACGAAGACAACATGGGTGGAGGGAGGGACTGGTGGCTCATCCTGGAGACACTGGAGAGGGTCTGTGCACCTTGGGTCGTCTCTGTGAGAAGTGCCGGGACCGTGGCGTGGTGAGAGGCTTCAGACAGTTAACGACTGGGGCGCCACAGCGGCAGGGGAGTGCCAGGCAAGATGAGGTCAGGTCCACACGGCCGGCCGGGGAAGCTCTCAAGGACATGGGGCAGCGTGGAGGAGACAGGGCATCAGGGTCCCAGGGAAAGGACGGGCGGGCGGCACGTGGGAGGGAGGCGACGGGAGCGGAAGACGCGAGAGGAGGCCAGGTCTGGAGCAAACAGAGGCAAGGCAAGGCGTGTGGTTTGCAGACCGGTGCTCAGAAACCACTCTGATGCCACAGAGACAAACGTTCACACACGCACTTGAGGAGAACTAGAGCAACTGCTTGGGCCAAAGCGACATGTGCCCTGGCATGCCTGTACCTCACGCAACAGGAGTCTGCTGACAAGGTGACCCACTGGCCAGCTTCCGGCCACGCGCGGAATGACACGCTGCGCCTCGGGTAGCAAGAAGAGCTGCAGCAGGAAGAAAGTTGGGGGGTGGGGACGGAATGAAGGCAGGAGGGGTGAGAAAGGAGGGCCCTGACAGAAATCCAGTGGGAGGCGGTGGGAGCTCACAGAAGGTCATGGGGCGGGCGGGGCTGGGTTAGAGAGGAGCCTAGGTGAATCCGCGGGGCGGAGCCTGAGGTGTGGAGGGAAGGTGTGGGAGGAGAAGGCGATACTGTGGAGGAAAACGGGGCAAACATGAGCAGGATGGCATGGAGAGGGCTTCAGGAGACGTGGCCTCCCACGTCTGTCCCGGAGTCAGGCGTGCATTAAGCAGGGAGGAAGGCACAGACAGAGTGGGCCTGGCAGGCACCCTTTCCGAGCTCAACAGTACCGGAACGGGCGAGAACCGGAGCCACGTGAGAGCATGAAGCTTGGGTCTTCCCACTTAGGGGATCTTGGGTCACCTGAGCCCAGATAAGATACCCAGCTTTACTTTCTCTGGTTCCAAGAACCAATACAGATCCTTAGCTCAGGTGGCTTTTCTCTGGGACCAGCCTGAGTGAGATAGAGAGGGCAGTAGGAAGCTCCTAGAAGCTTCCCCAATTGGTCGGAATCTCTGTGGTCATTAGGGGACTTCACCTGGGATCTCACATGTAGAGGTGTTCCCAGATGGCCCCAGTCTGCCCTTAGACACGGGTGCCACAGTTATCAGCCAGCGGGGTTCCTGGTTCCTGTGGGATTCTGGGTTTCTCAGATGCCCAGCGTCTGAGGGAGGCCGGCTGTGGCACTTGCGGTCACTGAAGCACAGTGATGTGGATCTTTAGGTGAACCATGAGAGCTGAGCTGCGGCTGAAGGCCTTCCCGCAGTCGCTGCACTTGTAAGGCTTCTCCCCGTGTGAGTCCGCTGGTGCTCGATGAGGGAGGAGCTCTGCGCGAAGGCCTTCGGGCAATCCTTGCACTGATAGGGCTTCTCTCCAGAGTGGATCCTCAGGTGGCGGACCAGGGCGGAGCAGTCGCTGAAGGCTCTCCCGCACGCCTCACACCTGTAGGGCTTCTCCCCAGTGTGCGTGCGCTGGTGCTGCGTCAGGTGGGTGCTCTGGCTGAAGGCCTTGCCGCACAGGTCGCACTCGTAAGGCCGCTCCCCCGTGTGGACCCGCTGGTGCTGGGTCAGGTGGGTGCTGCGACTGAAGGCTCGCCCGCACGCCTCGCACTTGTAGGGCTTCTCCCCAGTGTGGATCCTCTGGTGCTGCGTCAGGTGCGTGACCCGCCTGAAGGCTTTCCCACACTCTTTACACGCATGGGGCTTTGCTCCTGTGTGGACAACCTGGTGTTGGGCCAGGTGGGTGCTCCGGCTGAAGGCCTTCCCACATTCAATACAGGCATAGGGCATCTTCTGAGAGTGGCCCGTCTGGTGGGCTTCCAGGGCTGAAGTATTCTGGAATGTTCTCATACATTCACCGTACTTGGAGGGCTTCTTTCCCGAGTATATATCTGGAGGCACTGTCCCATAATCATACAACGGGCCAAATTTCTCCGCCGAAGAGGCCTTGTCTTGGGAAGGGAGGTTGGACCACGTGTTGGAACTGTTCCCTGAGGCATCAGACTCATGTCCAGGCTGGTCCTTGAGGGCATCTGTGTGAGGCTCCAGGTCTTTTCTGAAATTCATCCCTTGGGCCGCGGACTTCATCCAGAGTGCTCCTAGGAGCTCTGACTGGCTCTCAGAGCGGCTCTCGGGTTTACAAGTGTGGGCAGCGGTGGATTTGGGGGAAACACCTCCTGTGCGTGGTTCAGTGGCCATGTCTGGTGGTTGTAACTCATCTGTACCGCTCTCTTTGCCACCTGCCTCTTCACGCTCCACTCCTGGCTCCCAGCCTGGAATCATTCGAATCAGACTGTTACTCCCCCACCACAGATCCCCACACAAGCCTCTCCATCTGCTTGAGGCTGCTCACCCACTCTGAAAGGGGAGATGTGGACCAGTCTCGTCATATGTCCCCACCTCCAAAGGAACGTTTCCCCTTTGGTGGCTTGGGTAAGAAAAAGGATTCAGGGCTGTCCTCTTATCCTACCCTAAATAGCATCATGGTTCTGATTTTTCCTCACCCAATCAAGCCATCCGTCTTGCCAAGGCCCCTGATTTGACTAAGATGCCGAAAGGAAAGCTTTCATGCGGACAAGATCTGAACATCAGAGAGTGGAGCGAGCTGGGCCTCGTCAGGTGCATCTCCTCCCGGCAATCTTGGGCAGCGCCGAGCTCTGAGAGGCCGGGCTCTGCCTTTTAAAGTCAGCAGCTGTCTTTGGGAATGGTGGCTCAATGAGAACCAATCCAGATGCCTGTGACTGTCATTTGTCACAGCAGAACTCTAGGGAGACATCTGCTGCTATGGATGTGGGCGATTTGCTCCGGAAACTCCCAGGTCTGTCTGAGTAAACGGGAGGAGAGGCACACCTGCCCTGACCAGCCCGTCGTGGGTGCAAAGGGCATCTGAGGATACTTCATCTGGCAGCATTTACGGATGAGTCCCAGGGGTGCGTCAGAGAAGGATGCAAAGGCTGCTGCTGTTCTAGTCCACACTCGGGCTGGGTAGACTCAGAAGCAGCGCTCTGACCCCAGACTTTGAACTGCCAAGTTGTCAATCCCCAAGCTCTAACACTCCATCATCTGGACCTCAGTTTGTGATACTGCTTGCTTGCCAGGGCTTCTGGCTTACCGTGTGACACTCCCATGGTCTCATTTCATTTCCAGAAGGAGGCACTACGCGGTCCCACTGTACATGAGGAGACTAAGGCCCAGCAGAGGAGGTATAAGATCACAGGGTTATGTGTGCTCAAGCACACTTTTAGTCCCAGCACTTGCGAGTCAGAGTAGGAGTTCAAGCCCAGCTGGTCTATACAGCTTGTTCCTAGCCACAGTACTACATAGTAATTCCAAGCCAAGAGCTACACGGTGAGACCCTGCCTCAATAAATGGAGAAGTCAATATAATAGGAGTAGTAGAGATCCTGAGGGACGTGACCTTGACCAGTGAGCTTGCAGCCAGACTGGGACTTGCTCTGGAAGCTCCTGGACTAGACTGCACATCCTACCAGACTTCTCTGAGCGGAGACTATATCTGTGAGTCTCCTTGAATGACAAGTACCCATTCCGGTTCAGGGCCACTCAACCACCCTCCAGATCTTGTAGTCTGGCACAGGGAAGGCCACCAGAGGACATTCAGGGACACTTATCCCCCCTCCCCCAAGGCATCCAGTCATTTCATCAGTAACCCACACTTCCTTTGGGGAAGTGCCCCAGGCTCAACTCACTATTAGTTCCTGGGATTTGACTGTCCAAAGGCAAACACAAGGTCTGACTGGCTCAGCACAGGAGACCCAGCTTGCTGTTTTTTTCCCTGTCCACTTGGGTAATAAACAAGCCAGGGGCTGCTGGGCTACCTTTGTTCTCCCTGGGGAGATGCTAGTAAGCCAGGGGTGCAGCCCAGCTGCCCGAGTGCCTACCTACATGCACGAAAGCCCTGGGTTTGAGCCCTAGTACCACCTAAAGCTGGATGTGGTGGCCCACGCCTGTAATGCCAGCACCTGGGGGGGGGTGGAGGCAGGAGCGTCAGGAGCTCAAGGTCACCCTCAGCTGTGTGGTAAATTTGAGGTTAGCTTTGGTACAAGAGACCCTGCCTTAAATAAAAAGAAAGCTAATGTAGAAAGACCCAGAGGCAATGCAGATAGAGAATCTGGGAGTGGGCGAGAGCACGTAGGCTGAGTGGCGTGTCCCCTGAGTGTGTCTTCTGGACACTGCTGTGTCTAAGCCCTTGCCCTTAATGGCTGGACGTGGTCGTGTGTAACCACGGCTAAGGTACAAACGTGAGGACGAGCAATCCCTACCTACAGCTTGACCTCTGACGTTCCAGCCAGGCTGTGCCACAGCTCTCGGTGACCGACTACCTGCCTGCTGTCCCTCCTCACCTCTCTTGTCCAGCAGTTGAGTCAGATCCTCCACCAGAACGGCAGCCTCCTTTCCACTCCTTGGGCACTGAGCCCCCACCCAGGCCTGGATCTCGGGGGGCAGGGCACCCAGGAACTGCTCCAGCACCAGCAACTCCAGCATCTGTTCTTTGGAGGACGACTCCGGCCTCAGCCACTGGCAACATAGCTCTCGAAGCTGTGCGAGCGCCTGATGGGGGCTGGAGGCCTCCTCATAGCGGAAGTGCCGGAAGCGCAGGCGCGCAGCCTCAGGATGGGCTGTGGGGCTAGGGCTCGATCCTTGGCTCAGGGAGAGGCCCGCTTCTTCCTCCTCTTTTACCTTCACCTGAAGGAAGCCGCCCTGTTCCCAGAGTACGGGGCTCAGAGGGCACTTGGGGATGGCCATTGGGCAGATGAACTCAGTGAGACACGGGATGGCTGGGGCCTCCGGATTGGGTCTGCGGGAAGGTCAGAGCTTCACCATCTGAAAAGAGGGAGGGGAGGTGCAGGTTTGAGGTAGCCAGGCTGGCCTCCAAGTCACCATTCCCCTGCCTCAGCTTCCTCGGCGCACGCACTGCACGGCTGACTAACCTGCTTCTTTTTCAACCTGAGATAGATCATCGGGTGAAGGCGCTCGCCACCATGCCACTCCTCACACAGAAGATGAGTGTAATGACCGTGGCAGAGCCTGCTCAGAGCTGAGGATGACGCTCAGTGCATTCAGAATACACAACAGGGGCTGGAGAGACGGCTCAGCGGTTAAGAGCACTGGCTGCTCTTCCAGAGGACCTGAGTTCAATTCCCAGCACCCACATGGTGGCTCACAACCATCCGTAATGAGATCTGGTGCCCTCTGCTGGCCTGCAGGCATACATGCAGATAGAGCATATATACCAAACCAATCAACCAACCAACCAACCAACCAAACAAACAAGACAAAATACACAACAGGGAGGAACCCACTAAGCTCCAGCAGAGAGTTTCAAACCCATGGCCACAGATGGTCCTGGTTAAATTCGGTACATCTCAAAAACAAGACAGTCATGAATGCGGGAAGATCTGGAAGAAGGGGATGGCGGGTGGGAGGGAGATGGGGGTTACGGGAGGGAGAACGCATGTCACACATGTATGAAACGATCAAATAACAAATTCGATAAAGTTAAAAAGGGGGCAGGCAAGGGGCAGGCTCCACAGGTAACGGTGCAGGAACCTATTAGTGGAAGGAGGAACTGACTCTTGCATGTTGCCATCTGGCTTCTGAAGAGGGAGGTCAGTGCAATATGAAATATATCTATATCCCACCTGTGCTAATCTCCCTAGCCCCGCCCCTTTGGGTTTCTGCTCCCCTCTGTACTGGCGCTGTGGACCTGCACAGCCATGCTAGGCTTGTTATGAGCGCTGGGGATCCGAACTCAAGTCATGCTTACTCAGCAAGCACTGTACCCGACCGAGCCCCATCCTTAGCCCTGTTGAAGTTACTGTATTCTTCCTTTTTCCGTTTTGATGTGCATGAGCGTTGTGCCTACGTGCATGTCTGTGCACCAGATGCAAGCCTGGTGGGGACCAGAAGAGGGTGTCAGTGGCCTGAGACCGGACTTACAGACGCTTGTGAGCCACTCTGTGGGTGCTAGGAATGGAACCCAAATCCTCTGGAAGCGTGTCCAGTGCCGTTTACTGCTGAGCCATCTCAGTACGCATGCACATACATTAATAAATGTAAAAGTCTGAGGTCATCTGGGCGGTAGTGGAGCATGCCTTTAATCCCAGCAGCTGGGAGGCAGAGACAGTAGATATTGATCTACAGAGCAGGTTCTAGGAGAGCCAGGGCCACACAGAGAAATCCCATCTTGAAAAAAAAAGTTTAAAGCTACACATTTCCCTCTAAAAGGCTCTTGTGTATCACAATTTTCATAAGTTCTATCTATATTTTTATTTAACTATTTGAGGCAGGATCTCTCCTTTCTATTTTATTCATTATGTATACATTGTTCCATCTGCAGGCCAGAAGAGGGCACCGCATCTCATTACAGATGGTTGTGAACCACCATGTGGGTCCAGGGAATTGAACTCAGGACCTCTGGAAGAGCAGCCAGTGCTCTCAACCACTGAGCCACCTCTCCAACCTGAGGCAGAGCAAGTTCAAGGACTGGCTCCATATCTACCAAGAAACCCTGTCTTGAAAAAAACAAAAAATAAAAAATAAAAAAACAAACTCCTTAAAGCCAACAAAAAACCTACTGAATTGTATACTTTGAAACAGTTATCCTGGGTGTGGTGGCACATACCTTTCATCTCAGGACACTGGTGGCAGAGGCAGGCAGATCTCTGAGTTCTAGGCCATCCAATACTACCTAGTGATATTTTGCATCAAAAAATAAACAAACAGAAAAAGTTGATTTTTTTCAAGATCTATTTATTATGTACACAGTGTTCTGCCTACACATACACCTACTGGCCAGCAGAGGGCACCAACTTTCATTACAGATGGTTGTGAGCCACCATGTGGTTGCTGGGCATTGAACTCAGGACCTCTGGAAGAGCAGAGCCATCTCTCCAGCCCCTTAGAAAAAGTTTTAGCCAGGCATGTGACACACACCTATAATGTCACCACTCAGAAGGCCAAGGCAGGAAGATTGAGAGCTCAAGACTGTGCTGGGCTACAGAGCAAGTCTCTTTCCTAGAAGTAAGTAAGTAATTGATGGGTTTTATGATCATGGGGATCTTGGGCGAATACCTTGTTGTCTTTTTTTTTTGTTTGTTTTGGAGGCTGTCCTGGAACTTGCTCTGTAGAGCAGGTTGGCCTCGAACTCACAGAGATCTGCCTACCTCTGCCTCCCGAGTGTTGGGATTAAAGGTGTGCGCCACCAATGCCCGGCTACCTTGTTAGGCATTCTCTCCCTTCTGTATGTCAGGCCTCTCTACAAAAGGTCACTGCAGAGGTTCTGCCCTCTACCCTGCTTTATTTCTTCTCACTCGTCACTGCTTGGTGGACAGCACAATTGTATGATTGCTGGTTTTTCCAACCACCAGCCATCACTGCACTGCCATCGCCTTAAAAGTCAGGCGCTTTTCAAAAGTCCATGCATGGTGGTCCATGCCTGTAAATCCAGCACTTGGGAGGATGAAGCAGGAGACTGCAACTCTGAAGGCTGTCTGAGCTACCTAGCAAGACATCGCTTGTCCCACAAAAAAGAGAGGGGGCAAAGAGATGACTCAGCAGGTAAAGGTACTCACCGTGCAAGCCTGCTGTCCTGAGTTCAATCCCCAGATCCTGCAGAGAGCTGGACGCAGTAGAACACATCTGTGATCCCAGCACTTCTACGGTAGCATGGGACGCAGAGACCAGAGCATCACTGGGAAGCTTGTGGGCTAGCTGGTCTGGGGTACGCAGTGCGGCAGAGACGAGGAGAGAGACAGAGAGGGCCAGCCAACTTTCAGACGCTGTGCTCTGACCTCCGGGAACAGGTCCATCCCAAAGCACGCACACGCCCACACTCACACATGCACATATACACACAAAATAATTAAAACCAAATAAGGTAGGCATGGTGGCACAGTTTTTAATCCTAGCACTTAGGAGGGAGAGGCAGGCGGATCTCTGAGTTTGAGGCCAATCTGATTTATGTAGTGAATTTTAGGCCAGCCAGGGTTCATAGTGAGAGCCAGCTTCAAAACAAGCAGACATAAGACAGACAGACAACAATTACCAAATGAGGTGGCTTGAAGAACACCCCCCCTACGCTAAAATATTTGAATGCCTGGTCCCTACTTAGTAGAACTATTTGGGAAGGATTAGAAGATGAGGTTTTGTTGGAGGAGGTGTGTCAGTCGGGGTGGGCTTTGAGGTTTCAAAAGCTCACACACTTCCCTGTTGTCTCTGCCTCTTATTTTTTTATTTTATTTTTTCAAGACAGGGTTTCTCTTTGTAACTCTGTAGACCAGGCTGGTCTGGAACTCACAGAGATCCGCCTGCCTCTGCCTCCCGAGTACTGGGATTAAAGGCGTGCGCCACCACTGTCCGACTTGTCTCTGCCTCTCTTACACACGCATACATGTCAGTCTTGCTTAACACATTTTCATCGAGTTTCTTCTAGGTATCCGGCTCAGCTAGGGATGCCTCGATGAGGAAGACATAGGGCCTGTGCTAGGCACTTTTACTAGAAGGAGGCAGGCAGACTGATAAAGTGACAAGTAGGTGTGGTTATGTGGAGCAGTAATAGGAGAAAATAAGAGAAAATAAGGTCAGTCACTGGAAACCGATTACACGCTGGGCCACACCGGCCTTTTGTTTCTGTTACCACATTATACTCTATGAGTCAGAGTTACTGTTTCCATTTTAGGAGTTGGGGAAACTGAGTCAGCTCCTAGGGTCATTTTGTCAGTGAGTGGAGAGCTGGGCTTGGACCTCAGGACCCGATGTCCTTCTGACTTTCCTTTTTTGGGGTAATGCCTTTCAACCTTTCCAAACTGCAGAACAGTACATAGATGCTGCTTGGAGCTGATGACAACTCACTTCATGAATTACTAGTGGGTGATACTCAGTTAAAATGCCTTTCACAGAGATTATATTACCAGTTGGTGGGACAACCTAAATGACCTAAATTCAGTCCCTTAAGACCTACTTGGTGACAGGAGAGAACTGACTCCTATAAGTTGTCCCCTGACCTCTACACATAGCTTCTGTATATGTGCACACATGCACACACACGCACACACAAATAATATGTTGTAGGATCCTTAAAGTGGGCCATGCCTTTTGGCTCAATATTACATTTCAAGTCTAGCTCTCCTTATGTAATACAACTGACAGTCCTCCTGCCTTCTGACTCAGTGTTAATTCACTTCTGACTCAGTGTTAATTCACTTCAGAACCAATCACCGTTTCTACATGGAGAAGCTACTGACAGACTGTCACTCACTCGACGTGAGACACCAGGCCAAGATGCATCAGACACAGCACAACCTGTCGGGCATACACAACCGGTCGGTCAGTCCGTCCCACAGTCTGTCTGTCCTTACTCACAGGCCCTCAGCTTCGGCGTGGGCGTTGGCAGCTCTCAGCCCTCGTTGCCAGGTCTCCGGCTCTCACCGGGTCTCCATAACTCCCAGCAGACAATTCCGGAGGCGCCCTGATGACGAACGCACAGGCGCCTTCGTGCCTAGGGACTACAACTCCCAACATGCCCAGCGCAGGCGCACGGCCACGGGGGGGTTGGTGCGTCACGTGGACTACAAGCCCCAGAAAGCACAGCGCCAAGTCGGGGGTGCGTCACGTGGACTACAAGCCCCAGAAAGCACAGCGCCAGGTCCCTGCCCCTTCCCCCCCGCAGGGAACTCTAAGCCTGCGCGCGTGTTGGGGGATCGGGGTTCCGACCCCAGGATGGTGTTTGCTGGGACAGAGGTGGCTGTGGGCAGAGGTGGTGGGATGCGCCGGAAGTGGTGGCTTGCACAGTGCGGGTGGATGAGGGTCATCCCCAGATGACGCACAACCGTATAACAGCAGTTCCGGGAGTTCTGGTGCCCTCTTTTGGCTTCAGGCACGCAAGGGCTGCACAGACACAAGCAGGCAAAGCATCCATATACATCACTTTAAGAAAAATCACTTTATTTGGTGCGTGCGTGCGTGCTTGCGTGTGCCATGATGCAGGTGAACAGGCTAGGAGACAGCTTCTGGAAGTCAATTCTCTCCTTTTACCATGCGGGTCCTGGGGATCCAACTCAGTCTTGTCAACACTAGCTTGCTTTTATTTTTTTCTTTTTCTTTTCTTTTCTTTCTTCCTTTCTTTTTTCTTTTCTTTTCTTTCTTTTTTTTTGTGCTGGGCAATCCATAGATTTACTCACATTAAGCACAACCTCAAGCCCTAAGCCATAACCCTCCTCAGCCTTTGTCATTTTTATCTGAATATAGCGAATCTTAGCCAGCTAATACTAGCCACCCGAGAGAGACAGCTCGGGGCTAGGGTGTGTCAGCACCACGGACAGCTCCTAGCTCTAGGCAAGGTGCCTGTCTCAGAGGCGTTTACTGCTGTGATTTGTGAAAGTGCTCATGAGTTTGCCCATCTTTGAGCTCTATACAAAGTAAACAGTGCGCCGTGTGACAATCCGTGTAACGGCCTCGGCTCCATGCTACCAAATTCCATAAATTTCAGCAGTCGTAGGTTGCCTGTATGGGGGGCTGTGCGGGCAACAGCAAGATACAAGGAACGCAGTGAGATCTCTGAGGAGAAAATCGGTAGGTAGTACAGCAGTCCAAAATTCAGTTCCTCACGGAAACTCAGGAGGCAAAGAATCCTTTTGATACTTCCAATGGAGGCAAAGGTATTGAGATATCCCATCAAAGTAACTTTGACCTCTGCTGAGGTCCTCACTACTCAGCTTAGGATCTGTTTCCTATCTGGGAAAGGGAGTAATAGCATGGAAGACTGCTTGATCAGGCATTTAACAAATGTTGTGGGCTGGGTTCCACACCATAAAACCCAGTCTGAGATGAACGAGAACAAGTCTTTTTTTTTCTTTTTTTCTTTTTTTTTTTTTTTTTTGGTTTTTCGAGACAGGGTTTCTCTATTATATTGTTTTGGAGACTGTCCTGGAACTAGCTCTGTAGACCAGGCTGGCCTCGAACTCACAGAGATCCGCCTGTCTCTGCCTCCCAAGTGCTGGGATTAAACGCGTGCCACCAACGCCCGGCCCAGTCTTTTCTTTTTATGTATCTAACGTGTATCATGCAGGTGGGTGCACCGAAGGGACCTGTGTACTGCGGGGTGCGCCCCCCTGGATCCTTGTTTGGGCATAGACCTCACCTAAACACCATGTTCCAGGCACAAACCAAATGTAAAGAGATCTATTGTGTGTTTTCCAAGTTTTGCAATAATGAATTTGTGTCAGTTTTATAAAGAGATAAAACCAAGAAGTTCCCCTATTTTACAGTAATTTCTCCCTGAGGAATCCCTCTCCAAATATCTGTAAGGAAATCAATGAGGCTAGAATTGCTGGATGTGAGCTGAAAAATGAAAATTGTTGATCGTTCCCATTTCACTAAGTCGTCATCAGCCGCACAACATCCACCACGAGAAGTGTTAAAAACAGGACTGTTCTGGGGTCAAGGTGATGGGTACAACACCTGGTTTCCAGAGTGCTGACATCATGGTGTTCCCAACCCCTTTTTAGTTTGCTTTGCCTAGACTGCATCACGCACATTTGATGGAGCAGTAAGGGGCTACAGGTAAAGGCACGTTTCTTGTTCTCAGAGTCTGGTTCACTCCCTGGGTAGGCCATTTCACGCAATGTCCTGCCTGTCACCTGCTCTGCACTGTCAGCGGTAGCTGGGATAAAGTGAACAGACCTGAGATGATTATATGATAAATGTACCAGGACCTTTATGAAGGAGGGATGAGGAGGGGTCAAAGGCATGATTTCTGACTTTGATGATGGGGTGGCAGACAGTGACAGTCGTGAAAGGGATGGGGGAGCAGACCTTTGGATAGAAAAGGGCAGTTTTCTTTAGGGAAATCTGGATGTGGGAGTTTATGCTATACCTGGAGGAGCTGACAGCCATGTCCAGGTCTGAAGCTCGACTCCGAGCTGAGACTCAGAAATAGGGTGAACAATGCAAAGCCAGGGGTATGGATGCCGTTTGGAGAAAGTGTAGGCATTACATGGCCTCCTAGACCATGCCACTAGGGACACCAACACTTGGAGGAAACCAGAAGGTCCTGGATGGGGTTATGCATCCGAGAACCAAGGAGGCAGTGTGCTGGAGAGGCCATGTTGAGGGATGCAGCACCCAGTTGTGGACACAAGTTTTGTTTTTGTTTTTGTTTTGTAGACAGGGTTTCTCTGTGTAACAGCCCTAGCTGTTCTGGAACTCTTTATACCAGGCTGGCCTCGAACTTGGGAGATCCACCTGCCTCTGCCTCCTGAGTGGTGGGATTAAAGGCGTGCGCCACCACTGCCCGGGCAGAACAGGCTTCATGAAGCAGCAGGGGAGAGGCTGGAGGTGGAGGCTGGCACTGAGGAAATGGGGAACACAGGTGATTCTTTCGAGGGACTGGAAGAGATAGGGGCAGAGATGGCTGTCTGCCAGTTTATCAGCTACTTCCCAGTCATTCCTTACGGGTATCCATCATAGGCTAGGAATGCTCAACACCACCTTCCCAAACCTCGTCATTACGACGGATGGCCCTGTGACTCATTCTTGGCCAACAAATCAACAGTATGTGACAAAGGCTTCTGGGAAGGCCTTTCTTTGAAACATCATGGGAGATGTGTGTATTGGCCTGGCCTGCTTCCCTACAGACAGTGCTGATTACGGATGTAATGGCTGGGGCTTCAGCAGTGGGCTTAGGACCAAGGAAAAGGCAGACAGAATCACAGCCTCACCCTAAGTGAGCCACTTAAATCTTGTCTCAGCTGCTGTTAACTGGGGGCTCATATGAAAGTCTTACTTTGGGGCTGGAGAGATGGCTCAGAGGTTAAGAGTACTGGCTGCTCTTCCAGAGGTCCTGAGTTCAATTCCCAGCAACCACATGGTGGCTCACAGCCATCTACAATTCAATCTGGTGCCCTCTTCTGGCATGTAGACAGAACAGTGTATATGTAATAAGTAAATAAACCTTAAAAAAAGAAAGTCTTACTTCATTACTCTGCACATGGAACATACCTAGTTAACATTGTTCTTGTTATTAGCAATATGTTCTGTGCCTACTTTCTCTCATTTGGAATATGGTACTGCTTCATAGAACTATCACAAAGTCAGCCATCTGATGCTCTTTTCTTAGCTATGGGAATGAAAAGCTACCAGTCAAGACACACAAGCCAAGGTCCAACTGAGTGACTGTGAAAAGTCAAACTTGGCAAGGGAAAACCAGAGAAGCAAATTCAGGACATCAACAGGTCTTGTGGAGACCCCCGGGAGATTAACAAAAAAGGCTGATGGAATCCAGGTGTACTCCAATGGAGACGCCATCAGTTTTAGGGTTCTTAGGCAAGAACACATAGGAATGTGAGAAGCTGTGATCACCATGGGTTCTGCAGCTGGACAGTTCCCACACGGTGACAAGAACCAGGATGATCGCTCAAACTGCTCTGCTCATCCAGAGCGTGTGAGGCAGTGTCCCTGGGGCACAGGCATTTGACTACAGCTTTGCGTTGTGGTCCACACCATAGTTTGTTTCCTTTTAGGCGGGTTCCCTTGTTCTCTGAGAAACCAGAGCTAACACTAGGTGTTCTCTTTGTCTAGAACTGCATGAACGAAGGTTGAGGACCACCCCTTTTCTTTTTTCTTACGAGAACATGTGGAGGAAAGTAGTTAGTAAGGGTGACATTTCCTGTGAATGTTAAAGTGGTTGTTAGAACAGCGTGTTTTGTATAAAATCTCTAGCTTTTCCTGGCATTTACAGCTGAGAAGAAGGCTTCCCAATAGTCCTCTTGCAGAGACAGTTGTGGGTGGGGAGAGGGGATTTGAGAACAAAGGGAGCCTTATCCCCTCCCCTCCCTTTAGCACAGCTCAGTGGCTTGACACCAAACAAGAAGTCAGTTTTCCATATCATTGGACAGGAACAAAATTTAAGTTATTCAAGTAACCAACAAAAGACTGAGAAACAGCACAACTAGAAGACTTAAGAAAGAAACAAAATGCACTGTATAGATTATGGTTAGAATAAAACAAATACAAACTTTATGAAGCAACCAGGAACATCTTAACACTGGATATTTGATGGAATTTGCTAGATATATTTTTCCTTGAGATGTAAAAGAATTTTTTTTTAGTGTTTTGAGACAGGGCTGCTCTGTGGCTTTGGAGGCTGTCCTGGAACTAGCTCTTGTAGACCAGGCTGGTCTCAGACTCAGAGATCTGCCTGCCTCTGCCTCCCGAGTGCTGGGATTGTAAAATAGTATTTTTCCTAATAACTTTTGCCCCAGTTGAGAAGTGTACAATCAAGAACTCTAGGACACTGCTTTCATTCAGACTCTGGTCCAGAAGCACTATCAAAACATCAACGTGGCAAAATCCCCAAAAAAGATGGCTTAGTGTGATTGTGCAAATGGATTTGTCCCTGCGTATCAATATGGTTATTGCTATATATACTTAAGCTTTTAGGAATATATATTCAGAGAGTGGGGTGGATGTGAAAACAATTCAGGGAGGAACAGGGGTGAGGTGGTGAGTGGGAGATCCGGTGAAAATGTATCATTCATCTTTCAGAACACCCATTGTAAGTAGTAAAGGATTATACAGAAAGAGGATTCCTCACCCCAAATATAAATATTACAAAATGGCGAAATACTACTTTGTATATATAAACTCATGGCTTTTATTTTTTTAAGACTTTATTATGTATACAGTGTTTTGTCTTCACGTTTGCCTGCCTCCTGCCAGAAGAGGGCATCAGAGCTCATGTGCGAGCCACCATGTGGTTGCTGAGAATTGAACTCAGGACCTCTGGAAGAAGATCGGTCAATGCTCTTAACCTCTGAGACATCTCTCCAGCCCCTCATGGCTCTATTTGTTAAGAACAAACTCACATGATTGTTAATATAGCTTTGTTCAATCAGTTTACAGGTTAGAGAAAGGTTGGCTATTATTTGTGTCTCTGGTCCTGGGCAATGAACTCAGGGCCTTCTACATGCTAGGCAAGTGTTCTACTACTGAGCTACAACCCAACTCTCTGGGTTGAGTTTGTATCAGGGCTTCTCCATCTCAGTACTATTAATATTTGGGGCTAGAAGATTCTTAGAGGAGTTTCCCTGGGCACTTAAGTATGTTGAACAGCATCCTTGGCCTCCACCAGGATGCCAGTAGCATCCTTCAAGTTGCAGTGACAAAAATGACTCCAGATATTACCAAATGTCCTCTGCAGACAATTTGTTGAAAATGGGTACCTCTGACTAACAGCAACCCTAGAAACTTCAAGTGGTTTTCATAGGAGCTGTGACTCCTTTAGAGAATGTTGTAGAATTTTGATTCTTCTATGTCAGATGACTTACTGAAATGAGGATAGGAGCCACACATGCTTTAATGACTGTGAAGTACAGAATTGAGTCATGTGTGACTTAACCTGTGTGATATGTGAACTAGGATTCTGAGTTGAATTCACATAGAAACACGCATTGTTTTGTGTACATTCTGAATTTAGGCAGGGTTTCCCACATATGCAATGGTATTTTGATTTGTTCAAAAACTTTCACAAGAGTTCATCATTACTCTGCAAAATCACCTCGGACACAGTATTGCCCCTTACGGTATTTTTGGAGACAACAGTGTGCCTTAGAGCAGTCTCAAAGTTACTGGTCATTGACCTGGTGAAAATGAGCCCACATAAGGACAGTGAAAGATACCACACTGACTCAGTACTTATCATTCTATTATAAATTAGCCATCGTTTACAAAAAGGGGTCATACGTTATTTTCCCACTATGCCAGTGCAGAGGTTTTATTACTGGTAAACACGTTTTAGGGTAACAGAGAAAGCATCTTATGCTGTTTACTGCTGCTGGATATAGTGGCTCATGATCATGATCCTGGAATTAGGGAGGTAAAGGCAGGAGGACCAGAAAGGCAAGGTCATTCTTGGATACAAGGTGAGTTCGAGGAGGCCAGCCTGGGCCACATGAGACTGTCTCAGAAAAACAAAGAAAAAGTCTGTTGTTAAACAGGAACGGAGCTGGATACATTTAAGAACCACAAACCTCAAGGGTCTGGGTGGCACCACTCCCTCATGAAGTCAGAGGTCACCAATGACAATATGCCATCTTCTCTCGCCACTAGTACTCTGTGTGGACTTACGTTTGTACCTAGTAACTCCACAGTTATCTCAAGTTTCCTTCCTATGTAGATTCTCTGATGTCAAATAACAGAGAATTGCCCATTGAAGGTTCCTCTACCCCAATAACATGCACGGGGTTCTTCTCCTGCATAATTTCATGAAGGTCAAACAAAGCCAGTGTCCTGCTTGCTTGTCCTGCCTTTGCCTGGGCCATGGGGATCTCTCTTGAATTCGAGTGCGGATTCCGAACGAGCTTCGAGCCCCGCCCACAGGGTTGCTCTCGTCTCCGGCCCCGCCCATGTGGTTCTTCCTCTCTGTTGTGAGTTATCTGATGTCGGATGAGGTGAGAACTCTGAGTGAAGCACTTTCCACACTGATTACACGGAAAGGGCCTGTCGCTCCGTCGGGTCCTTTCTTCTTGACTCAAGGACGGGTCGCGGGTGAGGGTCTCTGTCCACTCGCGCTTCGTTAAAGCTGCCGCCTGCTCAAAGATCAGCCTCTGTCGGCACTCGTAGGGTTTCTCCCCGGCATGCTTCCGCTGATGCTGGGCCAGGGAGGAGCTGTGCCGGAAGCCCTTCCCGCAGTGATTACACTCATACGGCCTCTCCTCCGTGTGCGTCCGCAGATGCAGAAAGAGGCAAGTGGTCCTGGAGAAGGACTTCCCACACACGCTGCAGGTGTATGGCTTCTCCCCAGTGTGTGTCCTCTTGTGTCGCCCTAGGGATGAATTCTGATTGAAGGCTCTCCCACAGTCCTGACACGCGTAAGGCTTCTCTCCGGTGTGGATCCTCCTGTGGACGGTGAGGTGTGTACTGTGGCAGAAAGACTTCCCGCATTCGTCACATTTGTAGGGCTTGTCTCCAGTGTGGATGCGCGCGTGCTGAACAAGGGAGGAGTTCTGGCTGAAGGCTTTCCCGCACTCTTTGCACATGTAAGGTCTCTCGCCTGTATGAATTCTCTTGTGCACTGTGAGGTGTGCATTGTGGTTAAATGACTTCCCACAGTCAGTGCATTTATAGGGTTTATCTTGCACCTGACTTTTTGTGAGTTCGGTAATGGGCACAGTCTGATCAGGGGTTTTTTGACAGCCACTGTCATCACAGGGCTGTGTTGCTGGGGAGTCTGTAGGTTGACTGACTAAGCTTAGGTTATGTTCTGAGTCTTTAACTTGGGAGCCATCAGTAAAGCCATGTTCTTTTATAAAAATATCTGGTAACAGATCTGTGCTTACACTAAGCACACAGGTCTCCCCAAGTCCAAGACTTCCATAACTTTCACTGTGAGCTGGTATTTCTTTGGGGCCTTTTAGTTGCCCTAAGTGACTCTGATCCTTCTTGAGTGCCTGCCTCTGGCAATCACTTTTCAGATCTCTCCCTGTCATGGAATGACAAGAAATAGCCCTTTCGAACCCATCCCTTTCTGTAATGGGGGACAGCTCCTTCTCAGGGTAGCCCTGTTCCTTGAATGATGTGTGGTCTTCAGGTTCAAGAATCCAACCTGAAAGAAAAACAAAGAGCTCTGAGTAGTTAAGGGAAAAACAAGGAGAGGGGCAAGTTCCTAATACCCTGGAACTCTGACACTAATTTAGGATCTTAACAAGCTGCCCTGGTAAGTCCTGATTCTCGCTTGACCCTATCCCTGCCTTCACAGTATTTCACTCCTAGGCCAGGCATTGGAAACGAATTAAAAAATGTACTAGGATTCTGTTTGAATTTATCACAAACCTGGTGCCCAAAAGTAAACCTGCTTTCCCTCTTCCAATACAAAGTCCTAAAATTGAGATGTCAGCAAGGCTGGTTTTTCCTAGAAGCTCCTTGGAAGAACCTAAGGGAGTCAGTACTGTAGCATCTTCTAATCTCTTTCAATGGCCCCCTCTCAATGATCAATGCTTCTATCATCACACATCCTTTTCTCTTTTTTTTTTGCGGGGGGGGGGTGTGCTTTTGAGACAGGATTTCTTTGTGACCTTGGAGGCTGTGCTGGAACTAGCTCTTGTAGACCAGGCTGGTCTCGAACTCACAGAGATACACCTGCCTCTGCCTCCTGAATGCTGGGATTAAAGGCACATGCCACCACCGCCCGGCTGACCTTTTTGCTTCTTACAATTACTCCTTTGATTACATGGGGCCTATCTGATAGACAACTGGTTTTAGAGGTTAGGAATTAGACTTCATTGAGACCCATGCTTCACTTTGTTGCTCACCCTTAACATTAAAAAATTCTATATACTTATAAATAACTATATAAAATATAAATATATAAAAGCATACATATATTCATTTATGAATGTGCTTGAGTGTATGCGTGTGCAACGTGCATGCAGGAGCCCACCGCAGTCCGAGAGGACACTGGATCCCTGGAACTGGAGTTATAGGTTGTTGTGAGTCAACTTGTGGGTATTGGGAACAGAGCGCAGGAACTCCGCAGGAGTAGTAAGGACTCTCAACTGTTGAGCCATCTTTCCAGCCCACCCTTAGCATGAGGCCTCTTATCTGCTTAAGACACACATGAATGTGTTCATTCATTCAATATCCATCTTACCACACTAGCGTCCAGTCAGTGCTGACAGGTGCTAGATATTCAGAAGTATCTGTCTCAGTGATATTGGAAGGACTCAAGGGAAAACCAAGAGCTCGGCCACAGGAGAAGAGCTGGAAAAGCTGAGGATGGCTGGGTACTAAGCCCTTTACTATCTCTGCACAGCACACAGAGGGGCTTTAATAAAATGCAGCAATTCCACACAAAAGTTTGTATCTGAAGGTGATGTGCTCAAAATGTTACATAGTTTATGGAAATGTTCTTATATAAAACAGTACCATGTACACTAGATCTACAAAGAAAAATAAGAAGCAGAAAAACTAACAACAACAACAACATAACATATACATTTACGTCCACAGCAGCACTACTCTTAATAACCTCAAGTGGAAACAGTCCAAATGCCCATCAATAGGTGAATGAAAAAAACAAAAATGAAGCATGAAACATGAGTGTAGGGAATACAGCTCACTGGTAGAGGGCTTGTCTAGTGTGTATGAGGCCCTAGGTTCAATTCCCAGAATCACAACAAACCAACAAATAATTATCAATTAAAAGGAATATTCAGTCATAAAAAGGAATGTGAACACCCACAGCAACGTGTAGGACCTTTGAAAACATTATGCAGAGTAAAAGCAGCCAGACACAAATGTCACAGACTAGAGCCCACTGGTTAAGAAAGGTCCCAAACAAGCAAATCCACAGGCAATCCAAACAAATGGTTGTCAAGATCTAGGGAAGATGGGTGTGTAAAGAGAAGCTTTTTCCTTGAGAGGAGCCTTCCCGCCAGCCTGGTTCTAGAGCTGCATCAGTCCCAAATAAACACACAGGAGGCTATATTAATTATGAAGCTGTTGGCCTTGCTTGTTTCTTACTGGCTAGCTCTGACTTAAGTAATTACCCCATAATTGTTAATCTAAGTATTTCTCTTACCGGAGAATAGTTCCGGGCTTCCTATCCCATGGCGGTTACATCTCGAACTCTCCTGTGTTTCTCCTTCCCAGAATCCTCCTGGACTCCTAGTCCCACCTATCTAGATTCCTATTGGCTCAACAGTGCTTTATTGACAAAAGACTTTCCCAACAGGGTGGTGACCACTGATAGGTAACTTTGTGGTGACAGCTAAGGCCTGAGTGTTCGTATTCTAACATTTGTATGTTAAAGTCCTAATCCCTGCTTCAGTGGTATTTAGAAGAGAGGCTTTGGGGGAGTATCAGGTCTTGAAGGTAGAGCCCTCATGACAGATTAGAATCCTACTACCCCCCACTTCCCTCTTCAGAGGAAAACACAGCTATCTATAGATGAGGAAGGGGCCTCCATCAGGAACCAAATCAACGTTCATCCTCCAGCACTGTAAGAAATGAATGCCTGCTGCTTAAATCACCCGGATGGTGATGAAATGTTCTGTAAGTAGATATTGGTGATGCACAATCTGACACCATTGGATCACACATCAGGTATTTTGTTTGTTTGTTTGTTTGCTTTGTTTTCTCTCACATCCAAGGCTTCATGCATACAACTAAACTTTCACCTCTAATTTTAAATGGGAGAGTTTTATTGTATAAGAATCTTAATAAAGTTGTTACCCAAATCCCCGACAGATCTGCCCTTTTCTCCATCCTGGTTACCCCTCTGCTCACCATGGCAATCACTTCTTTTTTTTTTTTTTTCTTCCAAGACAGGGTTTCTCTGTGTGGCCTTTGTTATTTTGGAACTTTATAGACCAGGCTGGTCTTGAACTCACAGAGATCCACCAGCCTCTGCCTCCCAAGTGCTGGGCCACCACACCCAGCGGTAATCACTTCTGATGATGAACTGTGCTCGCCTCCCTGCCCCCCAATCTCATTGACTTCACCTCTTTTCTCTGTTTCCTGCTGGCTCTCCTACGATCCTTGCCCACATAGCCCATGCTTCTTTCTCTGCCTGGAGCACGCATCACCAGGACTGCCTGCTTCAGCGTCGTCTTCTAAAAGAGACGTTCCCGTGTGTGTGGCCTGGGCGCATTGTCTGCCCTATTAGTCTCAGGCATATTTTCGCTTGTTTCAGTCATCACCTCCTGATACTGTTATTCATTCCCTGGATGACTGAGACTGCCTTATTTTCTGCTACACTCCTGATATCAAAGGCAGGTGAGTCCTCAGGAATGCTTGTTCAATGGGCTCCCAAACTGATACTATCACATACAGGCTCAGGGCAAGCCTTGGTCCAGACCAATGTTGCCAATGGGAAGGCGGGTGAAGAAGACTCAGAGTAGAAGACTTCAGGCCACTATTGAGGGCTGAGCTGCTGTAATCAGGTCAGGCCAGCAACAGCTGGAAGCGTCGATGCTGAGTTTACCTGGGGTCCCCACAGCTCCAGACACCCCATACCTCAAACAGTGGATTCTGTTCTTTAGGATGCCATAGTGCCTCCAGTGAGAAACGGTGGTAAGAGGAAGGGTTGACACTATAGCTCATCAGGTGAGGTCAAATAACTGTAGGAGGGAAACAGTAAGACACAAACCAGGAGGCAACAGGCCGAGCGGCTCACCTCCACTGGCTACCTAGCCCACTAAGTCACGTGGTTGTACTGGGAGGGGGTCATGGATGGACACTCTTTTCCTTTAAAAGAAAAACGACTCTCTTGTTGAGTAAAGTGTGTTCTAAGCTGAGTGATGGTCCCACAAGGATAACCTTATTCCAGTTGTTGGACTCTGTCTATGTGTGACGTTACATGGCAAAGTGGATATTGTAGATATAATTAAGAATTTTTACCAGCACTCGGGAGGCAGAAACAGGCGGATCTCTGTAAGTTCGAGGCCAGCCTGGTCTACAGAGCGAGTTCCAGGACAGCCTCCAAAGCCACAGAGAAACCCTGTCTCGAAAAACCAAAAAAAAAAAAAAAAAAAAAAAAAGAATTAAAAAAAATTGAGATATTATATGTGTCTGTAGGTGAATGCATGAGTTACAGGTAGCTGGTGAGCTATTTGACACGGATATAAATTCAGGTTTTTTGTTTTTGTTTTGCAAGAGCAGAAAATACTCTTAACCGGTTGAGCCATCTCTTCAGGCCCAAATTAAGAAGCTTAAAAGTGTGAAATTATCTTGGGGATTTTTGCTGTTTTGTTTTTGTTTTTCAAGACAGGGTTTCTCTGTGTAGCTTTGGCACCTGTCCTGGAACTCGATCTGCAGATCAGGCTAGGCTGGAACTCAGAGATTTGCTTGCCTCTGCCTCCTGAGTGCTGGGATTAAAGGCGTGCACTATCACCTCCCGGTTTGGGATTCTGAATATCACCAGGAGGCTCCACATAGGAAAGGCCGGTGAGCCAGAGATGAACACGTGAGGACGGAATCAGAGCTAAGTGATATGCTCTGAAGACCTCATGAGCCACGGTAGCTGGGCAGCCTGTAGACACCAGGAGAGACAAGGACATAGGACCTCCTCTGCAGCTGCCAGAGGGAGTCAGGCTTGATGTTGCCCGATGTTCTCTCTGGACTCCAACTTCTACAGATATGAGAAAACACATGAATGAATCTGTGGTTTTTTTTTGGGGGGGGGATAGGGTTTTATAAACACAGATGGGGCTTTCCTGCAGAGTTCTTGGGATTACAGGAATTACCCTTCACAACCAGCCAAATCTTTTTTTTTCCATCACAGACACAGCACGTGGCTACAGTAGCTGTAGAACCCCTATACAAAGTATCAATGCAAAGTATGTTTCTATTTTAATAGGAAGCTTTCAGCTTCTCAAATATTTATGATGGCCCAGATATTAAGTTCTTTTTTTTTTTTTTTTTTTTTTTTTTTTTTTGGTTTTTTGAGACAGGGTTTCTCTGTATTGTTTTGGAGACTGTCCTGGAACTCGCTCTGTAGACCAGGCTGGCCTCGAACTCACAGAGATCCGTCTGCCTCCGCCTCCCGAGTGCTGGGATTAAAGGCTTGCGCCACCACCGCCAGGCTAATATTAAGTTCTTAAAAAGCTCTGTAAGAATTCCGATGCCACGCCTGCTGTGTGAGCCAAGACGTCAAGGCTCAGTTATTTTCTTACGTAGACTCAGCGGCAGCAGAAGCCTGTCAGTGAAAAGCGTGTCCAGATGAGACAGGTGTGCTCCCGACAGGTAAGCTGGCAGGAGCACTGGCCAAAACCAACAAAAGAGGCTGAGAGTGAGGTCACGCTTCATCACGGGGTAAATGTGTCTTTCTTTCTGTAGCCTGGGCCAGCACCAGAAGCACGCGAGTGGGTGTTTCTGCAGACTGCTGCTGTATCATGCTCATCCAGCTGTCAGCACACCAATGCACCGGCCCCATCCAACTATGTAACTTAGACCTTTCCTTCCCGTCGTCCCCAGTCAACAGGATCAGGAAAGCAGTCCAGTCCTGACCAAAGAGTTCTCAGACAAGGGGGCAGGAACCTGGCACTGCCGTTCCCACCATTTCCCTTCCTTCTCGCCTGGAGCATGGATGTGATGGCTGGAGCTGTTGCAGTCACACTGTAACCCTAGGCAACACGGAACCTCCAGCCCTAGTATGTCTCTAAGATGCCAACGACAGCACCAGCACCAGCACCAGCAAAGTCAGGGGTCCCTTTTTTTTTTTTTTTTTTTTTGGTTTTTCGAGACAAGGTTTCTCTGTGGCTTTGGAGGCTGTCCTGGAACTCGCTCTGTAGACCAGGCTGGCCTCGAACTCACAGAGATACGCCTGCCTCTGCCTCCCGAGTGCTGGGATTAAAGGCGTGCACCACCAACGCCTGGCTCAGGGGTCCCATTTTTTAAAATAATATTTTCTTTTTTTTTTCTGAACTTCTCATGACTTGAAGGATTTTGGGTTTTGTTTTTAAGGCAGAAGGTGTGTGTGTGTGTGTGTGTGTGTGTGTGTGTGTGTGTACAGCTTGCTTGGATCTCATTATGTTGATCAGGCTGGCCTTGAACTCGCAGGGATCCACATGTTTCTGCCTCCTGAGTGCTGGGATGGAAGGTGTGCATCACCATGCCAGGCCACCTGACTAGCATCCTTTCTGATAAGAGATTAACAGAAGGGGATGGGGAACAGGTTTGTGGAGTCTATCATGCAAGATCTGAATGGAACATCGAGATGAGAGCCAGGAAGAGGATGCCGGGAAGGCAGATGAGGACGGAAGTGGCCACGAAAGAGGGCAGAGCAGAAATGCAAGCGAGGCAGGCCTCTCACTGCTGGAGAGGAAGAATGGCTTTTGTGAGCACAGGAGGGTGAGGCCATTGGGCGCCCTTCCTGGGGCACCTTCCAGAAGTACATGACAACTGGGAAGCTGACAGTCCTCGAGACATTTGCTCACAGGCTGGCCCTTGGGAGCATTAGGTTCCCACCACCCTAACTGGTAAGAAAAGTTCACTGCTCTACTGTCGTGGCTTACTTCAAGCACCAGAATCATGGTGTGTAGGAGGTGGAGGGTGCCCCCAGGAGAAAACCCGTCATCCCTTCTGGAGACAACAGTCCTCCTGGACCAGCACAGCTCCCTGCTGGGAGAACTCAGAGCATTCTGCCTGACTCCTCAGACAGAAGAGCTGGAAGCTCAGGCCTGGCTCCTTCCAGTGGTTGGGGGTCCAATGCCCCTTTCCCAGGGGTCGCCTAAGACCACTGGAAATATCCGATATTAACGTTGCGATCTATAACAGTAGCAAATTACTTATGACTTAGCAATGAGAATAATCTTATGGCTGGGGGTCACCACAGCATGAGGTGTTAAAGGGCCACAGCCTCAGGAAGGCTGAGAACCACTGCTCTGCACTCCCCCCCCCAAGCCTTTTCCCTTCTTTCACAGGTTTTGCTCTGCCTCTTTGGCTACGATCAGTCAGCGCTGTGAGTCCTGGGAACATCCCAGGAAAGGGATGGTTCTGAGGGTCCTGAAAATATCATTCTTCCCATAAGAGCATCCCCAGTGGCCTCCCGCTTCTTGGTGGGCTTCTTACCTGGATGGCAGACCCGGGTGCCTCCCCTTTCTGTCACCCAGAGCTCAGCACCTTGCTCCAGCTGGGAGATAACTGCAGGCTTGGGAAGATCAGGACCTGGAAATTGGAAAAGATCCAGGAGGTCGGAGGCTGCTCTGGGACTAACAAACCCAGGCTGCAGCTCAGGCTCTTGATCATCAGGACATGAGGGCACCTGCCAATCACAAGGGTTTTGCTCACTGACAGAAAGGGCGGCCTCCCAACAAGTGTATCCTTCAGGAAATGAGGACCCAAGGTTAAGTTAGAGCTCACAACCATTAACTAAGTCTGAGAAGCGGGCCTTACCCACACAGAGAAGGTGCCCAAAGGTCTCGAGCATCACATCTCGATACAGACTCCTCTGGGTAGGGTCCAGCTGTCCCCACTCCTCTTGGGTAAAGTCCACAGCCACATCTCGGAAAGTCACTGGCTCCTGAAACATCACGTGCATTCTCAGTTAGTCGGGCCATCTAGCTATCTCTGTGGAAGAAAACAGGCAGGCAGGGACCCTGAGAAAATGTACCCTCTGTGTGATGTACCTCAGGCCTCACTGGGAATCTATAGGCAGGTATGGTTACCATGACAACACATGAGAACTCTCAGCAGGATCAACAAAGATAGCCACCCCATCTCTTTTTTTCCTTGACAAGGTTTCTCTCTATAGCCCAGGCTGGCCTCGAGCTCCCAGAGATCCACCTGCCTCTGCCTCCCAAGTGCTCGGATTAAAGGCATGTGCCACCACTGTCTGGCCTCCACCTCACTTTTTTTTTGTAGAGTTTTAAAAATTATGTTAGAAATACTCTTATTTTACATATCAATCCCGGTTCTCTCTCCCTCCCATCCTCCCATGCCTCACACCAACCCCCCATCCCATTCCCCCTTCTGCTCCCCAGGGAGGTTGAGGCCTTCCACGGGGGGACCATCAAAGTCTGTCACATCATTTGGGGCAGGGCCTAGGCCCCCCCCCATGTGTCTAGGCTGAGAGAGTGTTCCTCTTTGGAGAATGGGCTGTCAAAGTCTGTTTGTGTACTAGGGATAAATACTGATCACTACCAGAGGCCCCACTGATTGCCCAGGCCTCCTAACTAACACCCACTTTCAGGGGGTCTGGGTTGGTCCTATCCTGGTTTCCCAGCTGTCAGTTTGAGGTCCATGAGCTCCCCCTTGTTCAGGTCAACTGTTTCTGTGGGTTTCTCCAGCATGGTCTTGACCCCTTTGCTCATCACTCCTCCCTCTCTACGACTGGATTCCAGGAGTTCAGCTCAGTGCCTAGCTGTGGGTGTCTGCTTCTGCTTCCATCAGCTACTGGATGAAGGCTCTAGGATGGCCTTTAAGGAAGTCATCATTCTCATCATAGGGGAAGGGCATTTAAGGTAGTTTCTACACTATTGCTTAGATTCTTAGTTGGGGCATCCTTGTGGATCTCTGGACATTTCCCTAGTGCTAGATTTCTCTCTAAATCTCCCTCTATTTTGGTATCTCTGGCTTGCTCTCCTCTACTCTTCCCCTGACTCAATCTTCCTGCTCCCTCATGATTTCCTCCTCCCTCCTCTTCTCTCCCCTTCTCTGTCTCCTAGCCCCGCCCCCCCAATTACTCAGAAGATCTTATCCCTTTCCCCTGCTCCTCCACCCCACTTAAAAAAAAAGATTTAGGTAATTATTATGTGTACAGTGTTCTGTGTACATGTCTTTCTGCAGGCCAGCAGAGGGCGCCAGATCTCATTATGGATGGTTGCGAGCCACTGTGTGGGTGCTGGGAATTGAACTCAGGACCTCTGGAAGGGCAGCCAGGGCTCTCAACCACTGAGTCATCTCTCCAGTCCCCAGCCGCCACCCGACTTTTTTTTCTTAACCCACTGTGTCAGCTCAGCTCTCAGTGTTCTATCCCATGTCCAAGTGGTTCTTTCTAGCCCTGTACCAGTTCTCAACACCTGTCCTCCGTTTTCCATTGTCGTGTTTGTGACGCACGTGTGTGTAGGCACTCATGACGGAAGAGCATGCCCAAATATGTGCATGTGTGGAGGCCGGTTGCTGATGGCGAGGATCACTGCTCTACCATCGTATTCACCGAGCAGACCTCTCAATCAAATCCAGAGCTTACTGATATTGGTAGTCTCGATAGGCAGCTTGCTTGGGGGAGACCCTGCCAGTCTTCTATGACTGGAATTATAGGTGGGCCACATGCCCACCCAGCATTTATATGATTTTTGGGGATCTGAACGACAGTCTTCACACTTGTGCACTTTGACCAGTGAGCCATCTCCCCAGGCCCCTTAACACTTAAAAAACGATTTTAGGCATCCCAGGGTTGCCTCAGACATACTGCATATTCAAAGATGACCCTGAACTTCTGATTCCCCTGCTTTTACCTCCCAAGCACTGTTTTGTTTTCTAAAGTGGTGCCAGGGTTTCACACATGCTAGGCAAGCACTCTTTCCACCGAGCTACATCCCCAGACCCCGGACACTTGAATGACTCCTTGTCAACTTTTTAAAAAATTTTAATTTACTATGTGTACTGGTGTTTGCCTACATGTATGTCTGTGTGAGGGCGTCAGGTCCCCTGGATCTAGAGTTACAGACAGTTGCAAGCTGCCATGTGGGTGCTGGGAATTGAACCTGGGTCTTCTAGAAGAGCAGCCAGGGCTCTTAACTGCTGAGCCAGCTCTCCAACCCTTCTTGTCACCTTTCAAGATGACTATTCTCCCAAGGATATCCAGGTCTTTGCTCCTGAAACTTATGAATATTACGACAGCGGCATGTCCTTTGCGGATGTGATAAAGACACCAAAATAGGTAGATGTCCCGTGTTATCCACACGGGTCCTAGACTGGAGAAATCTGAAGGCAATGTGAGCACAAGACCACAAGGCGAGGAGTGTCAGGGCTGTAGCTCTCATAGCTGGAAAAGCCAATCAATAGGTATCCTCCATCTAGAAACTTGGTAGAAGTGCAGCTCTGCTCTGTGGTGCTCATTTCTGACTTCTCATCTCTAGAATTGAAAGACCCCTACCCAGGATCCCCTAGGAAAAGAAAAGCAAGGCCAGGCCGTTGCCTAATGAAAAAACCCAGACCAGGTGCCTCGCCCAGCTGGCAGGATGTCAAACAGGATCTGTGGTCACCAGAGCAGTCATGGGACCCGGATAATAATTGCTGAAGTGTGCCAGGGTCTTTTATGTGGCAATACCAGGACACCTAGTCCTTGGCAACTACCCCTGCCCCCAGTTGTGTCTATGATCACCATAGTAGTCATGGGACCCGGATAATAATTGCTGAAGCGTGCCGGGGTATTTCATGAGGTAATACCAGGAAACTTAGTCCGTGGGAACTACCCCTGCCCCCAAGATGAGCCAATGAAATGCCTGTTGCTATGCTGTTACTTATGTAACCATTAAAACTCTATAAATATTGTACTCCCTGCAAGCCCGGTATGCTCTGCACCCGAGTTGCAGTAGCATCCGCAGGCGCCTGTGTACTCAATAAATCACCTCTTGCATTTGCAGCCAGTGGTCTGGCCCCGGTTCTTGGGCAGAGGGTTCGGTTCAGTGCCCGGCGCTTTGATGCCGAGGTCTTTCAGAATGAGTCTTCTTTTTGAGTCAGGGTCAAACCTGGCCTTGAATTCACCATCCTCCTGCCTCAGTCTCTCCAGTGGTGCTGGGGTTATAAGCAAATGCCACCATGTTTGGCTTAGAATGTACATTGTCTTTAGCCACAAAGTTGGCAGTGACTTGTTATAACAGCCACAAGAAACTAACATACTGGACATCAAAGGCCTCTCTCTACTTGTGGTCCCTGCTCCTGTGGCGGCTAGCTTCTAAAATGGCCCCTCCGTGACATCCTGACTTGCATGCAGCCATGCTGACTTGTATGAATGACAGGAGACTGTGGAAATGACAGTGTGAAGTCTGCGCGGAGATCATGACACAGCGTCTACCTTGCCATCTCCTGGATCACCACTCTAAAGGCAACCACACAGGCTACGCCGTGAGAACTAAGCTCTTCCACAGCGAGGCCGACATGGAGAAACGCTGACCCCTCCTGCCAACAGCCATGCGAATCACTCATTTTGAAGGTGGGGCTTCTAGGCCCCGTCAGGCCGCAAGTAATAATTGTTAGGCTGTTTGTTAGGCTGTCATCTCGACTGTAACTTTTAAGGGCCGGAGGGCAGACCCATGAGCTAAGTCACTCTTGAATTTTTTTTTTTTTTTTTTTGGTTTTTATGTATTGTTTTGGAGGCTATCGGTCCAGCCCGGCCTCGAACTCACAGAGATCCGCCTGCCTCTGCCTCCCGAGTGCTGGGATTAAAGGCGTGCGCCACCACCGCCCGGCCACTCTTGGATTCTTACCTATCAGAAACCATGAAGTTGTAAGTATTTCGGGTCACTACATTTTGTGTGTGCTATTTGTTACACAGCAACAGATTAAACACACCCCTTCTAACATCTTTCTCGTTGCTTATTCTCTGGCAAGCTGTTAGCCTAATGACTGTCACCTGAGACTTGCCCTGGGGCTGGAGAATCTACTGTCACCACGGCTCATTCACACACGGCTGTTGATAGGACTCAGTTCTCAGCTCCCCACTATGGTCACACTTCACAAGAAAACTCCAACAACATGAATCGGATAATCTGCAATCTTTTTAAAACTGCCAATAAGCCCATTTTGCACGCCAAATGTCAAATAATGCAAATCTCCCCCTAAGCAAACCAATAACCTCCCCACTCAGAAGTACATAATTCCGGAATTGCAGAACTTACACATGAACTGTTTCTGGCATTTGCCAGGCGGACTATGGAGAACAGAACAAGCAGCTTGTCTACAAAGTGCTGGAACTCTGATGACCAGAAGCTTGGCAGACGCTGACATCTCTACCTACCAGTTTTCCCACGGCCCGCGGGGGGGGGGTGACTAACTTGGTGCCTGTGTCCCACGAAATTACGCCTCTCTTGCAAAATAGGGGCTTCATGGTGCGGAGATTCCTATGAAAGTCTGTTGATTCTACGCTTTAGGACGTGTCCCGAGGACAGTACCCGCAATGTGGGTACTCTGCAACGCTAGCCTCTCAGCTGTCATCACCGAGAGACGTCTCTCTGGGCGTGTGAGAAGGTGTTGGCCAGAGTGGGGGTGATCCCCCGTGCGGGGGGGGGTTTCTCCTGTCCTCTGGGAAATGACCACCCCTCTGCTCCCACCCCGCAGCAGGGAGACAGGAGGTAGAAGCGCGCATTGGAGACAGGGGTGGGGTGGGGCTGGGCTCCGAGGTGGAGGCACCGCGTTCGCTTCCCCTGCGTAAAAAGCGCCGCGGGTTACAGGCCCGTGGGGAGGTGGGGGGAGCGGGGCCCGGAGTCCCCTCCGTCGTTATTGTTACCTTTAGCTGTGTTGCTTGCGGCCGCGAGGCCATCGCTACTGTCGTCGCTTGGTCCCGCGGGTCCATCCCAGGCGAACAGGTCAGTAACAGACGTCCAGGGCGACCCCTGCTCTAAAGCGCCGTCCCGTCGTAGGGACCACCCGACCAGCCCTCCCGCTGGACAATGGCGGCAGCGCCAGGGACGCCGAGACTACAACTCCCAGAAGGCCACGCGCCGAGACGCAGCACTGGACCAATAGGAGCCGCCGCCAGTCCAACGTTGACCAATAGGGAAGCCCTGGCCTAAGGGAGTGGAAACCACCCACCGCTGTTGAGTAAGGAGCAGGTCTGGGTACCAGCACAGCACCGCTTCCATCCCGTTACCTACCGGTGCGGGCATCACTCGCCCCGGGCTACCCCGAAAATCTTTCTCCCACCTCGATGGCTGAGTTTAGGGAACACATGCATGGCAGCAGTGAGGGGAACGCGCGGAGACAAGGCCTTCCTGTTACAGCTGGTCAGCCTGAGCTGCTCCTGGAATTAAATGCACAAGAGACACGGAGATTTTTTTTTTTCCTTTGACTCTGTGTACTCCGGTTACACTGACATTTACCCGAAACAAAATTACACGAACATTTAAGAGCCTTCTTAATGTAATAGCCTTTGAAGGTCTAATAACCGGAAAGGGGAAAACGACGCTTCCCAGATTTCATTTCTCCAGGTAAGGTGACTATCAGTTGTTACAGCTCGGATGGAAAGATATCCTGGCAGTCGGGAGCCGAGGAGTACCAGAGAGTCAGACCACACTACAAACTTCACACAGACTTATTGGCAGGGAAAACCCCCAGGAGGGTGGCTGCCTCTGCTCAGGCGAGAGACAGCAGAGAACCGAGCAGAAGGAAGGATTTATGCAGTTTCCTGGGGGGTGGTTTGGGCGCGCGTGCGTGCGTGCGTGCGTGCGTGCGTGTGTGTGTGTGTGTGTGTGTGTGTGTGTGTGTGTGTGTAATTTTTCAGGATGAAGCTTGCCATGGTGGGGATTGGTGGGATTTCAAGTCCAGGAGCTTGAGCTGTTACTCTATAGGGTGGGGTCTGGGTCCAGCCATTAGGACAGTTGGAGTGTCTGTTCTGTGGGTGGTAGTTGGAGATCTTCAGGGGAGGGGCCCGGCCACTAGTGTGCCTTGAGGGATTTACAAAAGGTACACCGTAATCCCAACGTTTAAGAGATGGAGGCACTAGGATCCAGGAATTCATGCACGTTGAAGGCTATACTCCGAGGGATGGGGGTGAGGGGTTGGGAGATGGAGGACTAAAGAAAGAAAACATATCACACGCACTGTTTTTTTTTTTTTTCTCAAGCTAAACGAGGCACAAGTAGAAAAGAGAAGGGCCAGGCGAGGTGGTGCATACCTTTAAGACGCAGGCAGAACACTGTGAGTTTGAGGTTACCCTTGTCTACATAGTGAGTTCCAGGCAATCGGAGCTGCATAGAGAGACCATATCTCAAAACAAACAAACAAACAAACAAAACAACCAACAACCAAAAAAAAAAACCCCAAAACAAAAAACAAACGGGGTACTTGCTATAGTCCTCACCAGGCTGATGATATGGTGGAAAATGACAGAAATGAAACTACACCCTTAAAAATACAGAGTACACCGGGAAAGGAACATCAAGCCCTGCCCCTCCTCCACTCCCCCAGTACTGAATATTGGATTTAGGTCTTCACGCAAGGAGCGGGAAGTCCCAGCAATCAGCACTTCCTGAATGACATCCTTTCACGCGCATCCTCACTTCTGTCCCCCCCCACCTCAGCCCAGTACTTTCTTTTGTTCTCCGATGTCGTCTTCCCCACCAGCCCCTGCATATGTGGGTCTGACAGTGTTGGAAGTATTACAAATAGTGCTCAGGGTTCTTCCTGGTTCTTGGCCTCTTTTCCAAAGAACTGAAAATAGGAGCTCACAGAAACGCAAGAAGTCAGATAATTTTATTTGGATTGTGTAGGATACGCCATTCAAGACTGACAGTGGGCCTTGCGCGTGAAGATTCTCAGCATCCAGATTGCTGTTCAGGGCTTCGTTCTGTGGGGCTCAAGGGAAGGGGGTGCTGGTTGCTAGGGATGTAGTTTGGGTGGTTCTCTCCTTTGATAGATTAGGTCATGTATTCATTTTTCTCTATTGTGCATGTCCCTCTATAATGCATCTGATTTTAATCATGTGTGTGCCCAATTATGCATAGGCATAAGGTGGTAAATAGGAGGTTCTCCCTAGAAAGGGTCCAGCTTGGCCTTTTTGTGCATACATCCAAAATTAGTTCAGGCAAGATTGGCTCTTCCATTCTTCATACACGGATATGCTGAGAATATTCATGCCAGGTGGTGGTGGTTTATGTGGGATTACGGGCATAAGCCACCACCACTGAGTTTGAAGCCAGCTTGGACTACAAAGAGAGTTCCAGGACAGCCAGGACTGTTACATAGAGGAACTCTGTCTCAAAAAACAAAACAAAACAAAACGAGAGAATATTCTTGAACTAAAACTGTGTAATTTGATCAGTACCAAGGGCAGGGAAACTTATACCATTGTTCTGAGATGTAGGCAGAGAGGGGTTCTGAGGTTGCTAGGTGCATTGTTCAGAGAGGGATGTGTGTGAATAGTATGTGCCGTGGAAGGACCTAGGTTGCCAAGTGCATTATTACAAGAGGAGTGTGTGTACAAATCCCAAATCAAATTGGGGGGCCCTCAGGGGACTAGATTTTCTCCCATGCTTACCTGCCTCAGTATCAAACAACATGGTAGTTTGAATGAGACGTTTCCCTGTAGTCTCAAGCATTTGAACACTTGGCCTCTAGTTGGTGGTGCTCTTTGGAGTGCAACCACCACATCCAGCAGAGTGTCTGAGGGAAGCAAAAAGGTAGCTTAGTTCAGCATGACTAAGTAGCCCGTGTTGGTGCAAACTTCGGAAGTCTGGCCCCCACATAATGTATTTGAGGCATATTTAAGCACAGCACAATTTGGTGAGAACTTTCCTGGTAATAATCCTGATCAGGCATTTCGAGCTTGATGGAGTCACCGAAGAGAGTAGAACCGCCATAGAGCCAGTAAAATACGGTGATTTTTTTTCTAACTGGGTAACAGCCATTCAAGATATCAGCAGCTCCTTTCATGCTGTGGCAGTCACTCAAATAACTTTTCAAAAAGGACCTTGCTTTCAGTGCAGAAATAAAGGACACTGGAAAAATGAATACAAAAAAAAATCTAGTAGTCCTTGTCCCTCACCTTTGCCCATGACGTAAAAAAGGAAAAAAATGGGTGAAGGAATGTTGATCCAAATTTGACAAGGATAGTAAACCTTTAAACTTCCAAGAGGGCAACATCAATCCCTAGAATGGGCGTGGGAGTGACCCAAACAGCAAAAAATGAACCAGGCTCAAAATCAGTGTCTAGTCATTCAGGAGGAATAACAGGATCGAATGCATTGGGATTAAATTCCTTGGCTTTATGGACAAGACCATTCTCAGATGGTGGACATCCCATGTTGAGCTGAAAACTAGTCCTTTGGAGCAGTGGATCTCAACCTGTGGGTTGAATATCAGATAGCCTGTATGTCAGATACTTACATTAGTTTCATAATAGTAGCACAATTATAGTTACAAAGTAACAATGAAATGATTTTATGGTTGGGAGTCACCACAACTTGAGGAACTTCCTCCCTCCCTCCCTCCCTCCCTCCCTCCCTCCCTCCCTCCCTCCCTTCCTTCCTCCTTTCCTTCCTTGTTTTTTCAGGACAGGGTTTTTCTGTGTAACAACTTTGCTTGTCCTGGAAATCACTTTGTAGACCAGGCTGGCCTCGAACCCCCAGAGATCTGCCTGCCTCTGCCTCCCAAGTGATAGGATTAAAGGCGTGCGTCATCAGTGCCCTTCAAGGAACTTTATTAAAGGGTTGTAGTATTAGGAAGGTTGAGAACCACTGCTTTAGAATTATTGTAAATACTAGGGCCAACCATTCAGTTATTTGTAAAGAGCAATGACCACACACTGGTCCATGTCTAGTGGCCCACCTTTACAAGGTATTGGGGGCCAACAGGATTCTTTAAAAAGTACCAGTGTCTTAATGTGGACTAAGATTCTTCTGACACCGTGAAGCCTTACATTGTCTCTGGACTTTTTGTTTTGTTTTGTTTTTGTTTTTTGTTTTTTGTTTTACGAGACAGGGTTTCTCTGTATTGTTTTGGAGGCTGTCGGTCCAGCCCAGCCTTGAACTCACAGAGATCCGCCTGCCTCTGCCTCCCGAGTGCTGGGATTAAAGGCGTGAGCCACCACCGCCCGGCTTGTCTCATGACTTTTATAAAATTTGTGGGGGAAGAGATATATTACAACAAATGCAAGCAGTAATTACCACTGCTACTAATGAAATATCTGATAATTATAGTACAAGGAAATATAACCTCTCTAATTGGGGTCATTGATCAAGGACCATCCATACAGCCTTTACAGTGGATCTCTGATGACCAAGTATGGATTGATCAGTAGCCCCTTCATGCCAAAAAATTTAAGTAAAGGAATAATTGCAACTAGGACATATGGAACCTTCAGTTAGTCCTTGGAACTTGACTATTTTTGTAACTCATAAAAGGGTAATGAATAATTTTATTGAGACAGGGTTTCTCCTTGTAGCCCTGGTTGTCCTGGAGCTCACTCTGTAGACCAGGCTGGCCTCAAACTCAGAGATCAGCCTGCCTCTGCCTCCCAGAGTCCTGGGATCAAAGTCATGCCATACTGCCACATGGTTCAAAGAATATACTTTGACTGTTACATGATCTCAGGGCCATAAACATGACTATGAAAACAATGGTACCGCTTCAGCTAGGGTTACCTATTCCTACTATGATTCCGCAAGATCATTACATTATTATGATTAACTTAAAAGACTGCTTTTTCTCAGCTGGGCATTGGTGGTGCACGCCTTTAATCCCAGCACTCGGGAGGCAGAGGCGGGCGGATCTCTGTGAGTTCGAGGCCGGGCTGGACTGACAGCCTCCAAAATAATACAGAGAAACCCTGTCTCGTAAAAAAACCAAAAAAAAAGGACTGCTTTTTCTCTATTCCTTTGCACCCTGATGATAAGGAACATTGGGCATTCTGTGTTCCCACGTTAAACTACAACCATTGACCCAAC